TACACAGGAGAACACACACACACACACACACACACACACACACACACACACACACACACACACACACACACACACACACACAAAACCCCTCTAAAGTATTTGGGAGACTGTATATAAGTTATATGTGAGTCTGCTTGTTTAAGTTAGGGACTTAGGATTTGGTATCCATGGGGCAGACCTGGAACCAGTCTCCTGGGGTTACCAAGAGATCAGTAAAGTCAGCACCAGTACAATTTGGGATTTGTGGAACTCAAAGATGACTATATCCTAAAACCAGTGTGTCTAATTGGGACTTGAACAATTCCTTCAGTAATTTTTTTATAACACATAAATATAATTACATGTTATACTAGTGGATTTAAAAAATAATGATTGTGTTTTTGGTATGATATCCTAAATAAAAGTCTTCTCACTATAACCATAATTAGAGTAATCTTTATAGCTTATAGTTATTTTAGACTACTGTAATTTGAAAGTCCTTTAATTATAACATAATACATATTTAAAATAACTGCTATGATCACAGAGTAATTTAAATTTATATTTACAAAATTTGATCATATACTTACTTTGCTTTTCTAGGTAGGTACAGTTTTTAAAGTCCACTTTTTTTTAAGCCTATTATTTTTTTTATTTCTGTTATTTTTTCGAGACAAGGTCCCTGACTGGCCTCAAAGTCAAGATTCCTCCACCGTAGCCTCTGAGTGCTGTGATTGCAGGCCTGTATCACCATACCTGTCACAAACGTCTGTGATTCATTGCAACTAGACATATGCCTTAGAATTTGTGACAGGAAGCAAAGATGCAAAATTTTCCAGCTTTTTAGAGTTATGTTACTGTATTTCTTTTGTCTTTTCATGTGTGTATGTGGTATGCATGCAGGTATGTATTCATGTTTGCATGTGTGCATACACACATGTGAAAGCTAGAGGTTGACTTTGGGAGTCTTCCTGATCGCTCTTCCATCTTATTCTTTTGAATCAGGGTCTCTCAATCAAACTTAGACCTCATCCATAAAACTAGTCTGACTAGCAGCCAGCTTGCCCAGGGGATCTCCTGTCTCTGCCTTCCGAGACTGGAATTACAGGTGGGCTGTCACACCCACCCAACATTTATGTAGGTTCTGGGGGTCCCATCCCCAGTCTTCTTGCTTGTTTGGCAGGTGCTTTAGCTGCTGAGCCATCTCCCTAACCTAGTCTGTTATTTTTAAAAATAATATGTAATCAAAACATATCCAAGCAGATTTGGTAAAACGTTATGCTTATCAATCCATTGTTTCCCCCAGCTTTCCCCAGTTTCTCCTCCATCAAAGTTATGAACATTCTGGTTTGGTGTTTGCAGTCCTTTGTGTTCTGATGTTAGAACAGCACAGAAGAGGCTGAGAGACTTAAGGAAGACCCCTGCCGGTCCTGCATCATGTGGGCCTGGGCTATGTTGTTCTACAGATTACAAAGAGCAAGTGTCCACAAGTTTCTGAGCTTTGCTGCTGTGGGCTTGTATGATGTGCACAGAGGAAATCCAGAGTTGTCACAGTATTGACGATTCCTGCCTCCCTCCGTGGGCCACAGGAGGATAGGCATCTGTGAGACAGAGTGCTTGCACTGTAAAATCCCTAGAGAACAAGAGCATGCTTTTGCCATTTTCTGTCTACTAAACAGACGAAACCACTGGTTTAGGTGTGCAGGAATATGTAGCAATGGCAACCCTTTGAGTTGGATGAAGAAATTAAATGGTAGAGAATTATCTGGAGGGGTACATGATGATGAAGTGGAAGACTGGGTGAGTGGGTCACCCCAAGAATATTAGAATTTTCTCAAGCAAATTTCATATAAAAGGTAACTGTTGGTTAAAACCCACATGTGATCTTAGGTACTATATATTATATATACCTTATATTCATACTTTCTTAGCGGTGTGTGTGTGTGTGTGTGTGTGTGTGTGTGTGTGTGTGTGTATAAAATTGTACATACTGAGCTTCCTTTGACTACATAAAATTTTCCTATTATGCACTAACTTAGAACTCTGTGTACAAAATGGCTCTTCCCTACTACAATATGGCTATGTTTTCTTCTAGGACTTTTGCTAAACCCAACTGCCTCTTGCTCCAAATTAAGCTTTCTTATCTACTTAAGAGATAAAATGGGGAATACGTTCCTACAGCCAATACACTCTTCACTGACCCTTTCTCTACACCAAATGATGCATTACATTTAGTGTTTCATAGGCTGTTCTTGAGGGGGTAGATGGTAATTGGTCCAGCAGTTTCCTACAAGGCAGTGGAACACATCATGAAGTGTAAGGCAGTGGGCAGAGAGGATGGTCTGAGTGCTCAGGGACTTGGGCTGTGTGGGCTCCATCTCTACTCTCTGCCTTTCTCTCTGGGACCTTGGAAGGGGTCCCTTGATTTCTCTACATCTTGACCACCATGGAAACATGAGCAGCTAGAATAACCCCTGGAGCCCCTTCTGCTTCTACCACTTTGTGTTTAAAATTATTAGATAGGCATTTATTGAACACTTGGTATGTGCACACATGATATTATCCTGTGGAGCTACCTATTATAGGGCAAAAACCCTATCCCTCTTCCTAGGGGAATCCAGTGTGGAAATTCGAGAGCTGGTGTCTCATGTGTCGCCCCGGTGCTCCCACCCACAGATCGGGTCTGCACTCATTGCTCTTGTGGACACAGTACTTCTCTGTTCACATTTGTGTTTGACTGTAGCGGATTTCTGTAAAAAGCCAAATATTCTTGGTTTCATGGCCATAGAGGCACCTGGAGAAGGTATAGACACTATACAAATAAGTGGATATGGCTGTGTTTTAATAAAACTTACTTTACACGGACAGCTTGCTATTCCAGTGTTGTTTAATGGTTTAATACTCTGTCTGAAACTGTGAAATAGTTGTCTGTGTATCTAGAACCTGTGAGTTTGGCCAGCTATATAAACAACATAGACTTTGTATAGCCTCTTCCTTTGGTTTGTCACTAGCAAAGGCCTGACTGAAGGCCTTTAGTTACCAGACTCCTTCTACAGGAAGAACATTGGAACTAAGTCCCCACTAGGGACTTAGGTCAACTGCCAAGGACTTCCAGGTCCCAGGGTCAGGGAGCTGACATGTCTACCTTTGTCTTCAGCAATGGAAACTTCTGCCCAAACAGAGGCTCCTTGATTGAGGTGGACCTGGCAAAGGTTCATTGTGCCATTTCTGGAAATATCCATAGCCCTCACCTTGCTCCCCATCCCTAGTCTCTTGCGAATGTTTGAAAGGAAAGAAAGCTGCTGCTGAGTGTCCCAGGGCTTGCTGGCAAAGGGCTCTGCCGGGGTACAGAAGGCAAGGAGGCAAGCCAGGAAGTCACCCCAGGAGATTCTCCTTGTCACAAATAAGCCAGATAAGGGTGCCCTTCAGACATTAGAAATTGGAAGTGGCTGATCCTAGAAAATCAACCATCTTCAGTCTTTGGAATCATGAATAAATAATCTTTTTAAGTCCTGGAAAATGGTAGCTTCAATTCCAGTAAGGACTGCAGAGAATGGAATTTGTTCTAGAAGCTCGTGTTTCAGCACGCTGCTTTTTGTGGCTTGTTTTGTTCACAGGGAGAGGTGACATCCAGCCTCAGTTGGACAGCGCTCTCCAGGATGTCAATGATAAATACCTCTTGTTGGAAGAAACAGAAAAGCAGGCTGTCCGCAAAGCTTTGATTGAAGAGCGCGGCCGATTCTGCACCTTCATTTCTATGCTGAGGCCAGTGATTGTAAGTTGATGGAAACTTCTAGACGGCTTGATCTCTGTAGTGTGGAGGGGCTTTCCTTCTTCATTTATGCATCCACCAGTGACTCATTGGGAATCTACTGCTGTGAGGACTCATGTTCACAGACCAGCGATTTTCTGCAAGGTGCTGATGTTCATGTGGCCCATTCATTGTTTGCATGGTTTTTCTTTTAAAGACTTATTTTATGCATCATATATATGGGTGCCCATGGAGGCCAGAAGAGGACACTAGATTCCCTGGAGCTGGAGTTACAGGCAGTTATGAGCCACCAATGTGGGTGCTGAGAAACAAACCTTGGTCTTCTGGAAGAGCAGCAGGTGTTCTTAACTGCTGAGCTATCTTTCCAGCCCCCTGTTCAAATCTCTTAGCAACAGATGTCCTACTTTGTTTCTTCCCCCCTAATTCAAGGTGGCCTGGGCATGGTGGTATAAGACTGATCCCTGCACTGAGGAAGGCTGATACAGCAGGATTACTTGAGCTTAAGGCAAGCCTGGGCTACACAGTGAGTCCCAGGCCAACTAGGGCTATACAGTGAGAACCTATCTCAACCTACCCCCCAATAAAAGGAATTATTATTAGTTCTCAAAGTGGATTCCCCAGGTTAGCATCAGCAGCACCCTAAGAGCTAGAAATGGAAATTCTGAGGCATAGCCCAGACCCACTATGTCCAAAACTCTGGGGCTAGAGCAGGCATCTGTCTTAAGCAAGCGCTCAGGTGATATTTGAGAGCTGCTGGCCAAGCCAGATAATTCAGAGTAAATGTGTCATAAATTCAGAAGCACCTCAATGAATCAGTTCTCACTCTCTAAGTCAATCATGAACATGCTGTGACTGACAGTCTGCAGAAGCTGTTCTTGGAGGCAGTAAGAATATATCAGTGCAGCTGTCTCTACCCTGGCAAAGTACTTAGGTTTAAGTTGTTCACTCCATCTATCTCTCCTGCCTGGGCCCACAGCCCTCCCTGGACACTTTCCAGCTCTTGCTTCCATCCCATTTACTACTTAATAAGATGATGGAGAGGGAGGAGCAGACGAGAAGAGATACAGTTAGCTCTTATGAACATGCTTTACTGGTATAAAGATCTGGACCCAAATGTCCCTAAATCACATCAGTCATTGGTGGCTACCTAATCCCATCCCACAGAAAGATCCCACGACAATGTGCAGGCAGATGATCTCACTCTAGCAGGCTTGGAAGTGCCCTGTGAGGAGGCTCCTGTGACCACTTTCCACTGTCACTCTGTGACTATGAAAGATTCTTTTTCCCATTTCCTCATGATAATGTTCATGAATTACTTTCCTTTAGGAGGAAGAGATCTCAATGTTAGGGGAAATTACCCACCTTCAGACCATATCAGAAGATCTAAAGAGCCTGACTATGGACCCCCACAAACTGCCCTCTTCAAGCGAACAGGTAGGAACTGCGAGTCAAGAATCAAAGAACAAATCAGAGTTAAACTTCAGGGCTCTGCTGGTCCTCATGGCATTCATCACATCTGAAATCATACCCATATGTCACTATGGTATTGTGTCATTAACATGTGGTAGTTGTCATGGCCACTGTGTTATGTCGTGTCTCACTATGCGAACTGCCTTAGTTCTTCTTCACTGTTAAGTCCATTTTGTAGGGAAAGAGATGAAGTGACTTACCCAGGGTTACCTTGGTAATAAGTGATGAAACTAGGATTTGAGACAAGTGGTCCAGGACTAGACCCTGTGCTTATCCACTCTCTAGGCATGAATTCTCTTGGGTTCGTGACGGTGTATGATTCTGTTGTCCTGGTTCACAGTCTTCCCTTTCTCCAGGGCTAATTAAGTAATTCATGGGACTCTTTCTCATCTGGGGAAAATATGAAATTATTTATTTTTATATTATGTGTTTGAGAGTATTGTCTACATGTATGTAAGTGCACCATGTGCGTGCAGTGCCTACAGAAGCCAGAAGAAGGTGTTGGATCGCCTGGAACTGGAGTTACTAACAGTTGTTAGCTGCCTTGTGGATGCTGGGAACTGAACCTCAGTCCTCTGCAAGAGCAGCCAGTGCACTTAACTGCTGAGCCATCTTTCCAGCCCCCAAACTTTTTTTTGGAGACATGGTCTCAGTTTGTAGCCCTGGCTGATCTGAACTTGCTAAATAAGCCAGACTGACCTTGGAACTCAAGATCCACCTGCCTCTGCCTCTGCCTCATGAGTACTGGAATTAAAGGTGTACTCTAGCAAGCCCAGCTAAAATGACATTTTAAAAAATGCTTTTCATTTGGTGTGTGTGACATTAGTGGGAAGAAACCTATTCAGGGGACCAGTTGAAGAATCAGATCATGCTGGTTTTGAGCTCTTTGCTCATAATTCTTATTGCTTGCTTGGAGAGTCAACTCAGAAGATAAATTTGGAAACTTGTGTGCTGTTCTGTTTAATTTCTTCTAACAAACTAGAGCATGCATTCACTAAGTAGACATTAGTGGAGCACCTCTTAATGTGAATAAGAGGTAGACCTTACACTACTCAGTGGCTCTTTGTCATACAAGGGAGACATGTAGAAATGATTGTGATAGAATTGGCTTCTCTTGATTCTGTGAGATTTTCGTGCTTTAAGCCCTGGTCAAATAGGACACAAGTCCTACTGAACATCAAGTGGGTAAAGTGCAGTCAACAAGCCCAGAAACCATTATTGCCTTTATGAAGCTACAGAGCGAAAACACTGAATTCTAGCCTCAAGTGAAAATAGCTCTTAGGGGCTGTTAATTGGTCAGTGTAATTATCTCTTTCTCTTTTACCCAGTATGTCAGCTTTTCCTTTCTCTCTCTACCTCCCCATTAGCTATAGTTTTTCTTGTCTCAGAAAAAGGATTGTGAATTTGATGGATAGGTGGGGTGGCTCTTCAGTTAAACCATAACATTTTCTCTTAATTTCACCCCTGCACCCCTGAAAGGGCAGTGTTTTGTTGTCATGGTGTATGTAGAAATTGTCAATGAAGTCTCTCTTCATCTCTTACCCAGCTGCTCTGTCCCTCCCTTCAGGTGATTTTGGACTTGAAAGGTTCTGATTATAGTTGGTCATATCAGACTCCACCATCTTCCCCCAGCACCACCATGTCCAGAAAGTCAAGTGTCTGCAGGTAAGTGAAGCTGCTGTTTCCTCTTGCTTTTCAGGACAAGCCATCCTTCCTCATGAACAGGAGCCAGGCTTTGTATCCGAAAGGGGCTCGTTTTATTTTAATTTTAATTATTTTTATTTTATGTGTATGAATGTTACGCCTACATACATGTAAGTGTACCTGTGTTGTGCAGTGCCCTTGGAGGTCAGAAGAGGGCATGAGATCCCCCGGAACTGGATTTATGGATGGTTGCCATGTGGGTGCTGGGCCTCGAACCCAGGTCTTTTGGAAGAGCAGTTAGTGCTCTTAACCGCTGAGCCATCTCTCCAGTCCCAAGGGGTTTGTTTTAAAGGAAATACTAAGGTGAAAGAATAGTCTCACTTTTTAGTCTCTGAGTTAACTGGATCGGAAAGCAAACCCCATTGGTCCTTAGACTAGAGGATATAGCCTGGTCACACTGAGCTGTGTGCTGTAGACATGTTTTTCTCTTTTATGTTACTGTATTTGATTTTCCTCCTTATTGATGTGAAAACCATAAGGATTAATGGTGAACCTAGGTTGATTTGTAGGGGGGGGTAGTGGGAGTAGTGGGGGGATGGGGGTAGTGCTGGAGATAGAACCCAGGGCCTCATGCATGCTGGGCAAGTGCTCTACCACTGAGCTGTACCACCAGCCCCAGGTTGATTTTCTTCTTTTTAAATAGAAGCTAATCTAACAGTTGCCGGTACAAATGAAGGAAGCAGCAATGGCCAAAGGCTTTGTTTTGTCCAACATTTCTGAGGTCCTAAATTTCACACAGTTCCTGCTTTGTCAGCTCCCACCACTGGGCCAACTAGTACCGTTGCTTGTGGAATCACAGAATCATTTGGAATGGGCCTGCCACATGCAAGACTGTGATCTAATTTCATGAGGTAGCCATGCTTGGCCTTCTGACTGAGGAAGTTTCATCTCTTCTTGAAAGATGGGAACGTCACCAGCCGTCACTTCCTTTCTTGGTGCACTACACACCTGTTGCTAATCAGTTTATTTGACTTTGCAAAACCCAATGAATGTTCCCATCCTGTGAAGTGCCGTAGAGGGGAAGGAGCAGGCTGGGGCTGCTCTGTCTGTGTATGGAGATGTCTCTACATCCTGGTGTGTTTCATTTTACCTGGGACTTTTTCCACAGTACATGTGACAGGCAGTTCAGGTCAACAGGCTGCACATCCTGGCATCTGCCCCAATGATGTCAGTTGGTTATTTGTCATTTCTCCTGGGCTCTGTGTTTGCATGAGAGAGAGAAATTTTTTTTTTTTTAAATTGTAGTAGCTAAGAAGGGCTTGTCCCATTAGTGTAGAGCAAGTTGCAGGCTGTCTTTTCTTCCTTATCACCTTAGAGTACAAGCCAGGCTGCTCTGAGCAGTTGCTGTGAGCATTACGTTCAGTCCCCAAATGCTGTCTTCTGACTGGTTGTAGTGTTTATCCCGCTGCTGTGTTTATGCCCTCACAGCTGTTCCCTCCAGCATGCTCCCCTTGTCTGAACATTCTTCTCAAGTTGTCCTGGCCTAGGTCAGCACAGTTTGCTCCACTCCCTCACCAGCTGCAAAACAGACTCTCCCAGAAACCATGAGTTTGCAGACTTCAAGCTTGCTTGGCTGCCTCAACCCTCAGGTGTTTCCACAACCGCCCTTTATGTTTTGGCTCTGCTTGCCTGAACCATGGACCTCGACTCAGCTTTCTGTTTTTTGTAAGAGAATGTACATTCTTGCCAGGAAATGGAATGCAGGCAGGGTAACTTGAGGGGGCATGCCATTTCCCCTTCCTACTTACTGATTCACCTTAGAAGCAAGCAGCTTATCATTGATTGCCCTTCCTCACTGAAAGCTGCCTGCATCTTGCCAGGTGTGCTGAGGTGTACTGTTACACCAGGCCCACAGATGGTTTATCAGAGGAGTACCTAGGATGGGGTAAAGCCAGGAATCCATCAGCTGTTAACAAAAGGCAGAGCACCTACAGGCAAGTATACCAACTTGATTTCCTGAAGAGCTTTGCGGTGGTCTGGTCCAGGCTCACCTAGGATGGAATCACCTTGGGTGTCTGTCTGTCAGCCCTGGTTGGCTCTATAAATTCAGGTCATCAGACTCAGTAGTCCATTTAAGCTCTTAGTGAATTTGCTGTAGGGTTGACTGCAAGCAAATGAGGTTAGCCCCCCTTCTTTTCATGTAGTAAGTGTCAGTCCTCTGGCTTTGGTGGTGGATGACACAGTGGAGCTGGGTACCATTGGCTTTTTGAATCACAGGCTTCCATACTTAAAAGTGTCATATTGTACCCTTAGAGACCTGAGACCTGGCTCTCCCGTTGTACACCTGAAAAAAAAGCTTTCTTTCACCTGCCTGATGATTTGGGCTTTTGAGAACATGTTCTGGGGTTTGTGCTGCTTCTCTGATGCAGGGAGCTGATGCTCTATGGTGCTCTCCCCACTCCAACTCTTGCTGTCTGTTCCACTCCTTCCTCTCACCATTGCCCCCTCCCTTCCATGCCTGTCCCTCTGCTTGTCCCTCACAGCAGCCTGAACAGTGTCAACAGCAGTGACTCCCGGTCCAGCGGTTCCCACTCCCATTCGCCCAGCTCGCATTATCGGTACCGCAGCTCCAACCTGGCCCAGCAGGCGCCTGTGAGGCTGTCCAGTGTGTCCTCCCATGACTCAGGATTCATATCCCAGGACGCCTTCCAGTCCAAGTCGCCTTCCCCCATGCCACCTGAGGCTGCCAACCAGGTAAGGATGCCCTTGATCCAAAGAGCAGCAGGTATACTGAGTGCACTGGCCACTGTTGATGGGGGGAACACAAAGGCTTGGGACCCCTCTTTTTTAATCCTCAACTTTTAAGATGTTTCCCCAAAGGAGAGATGTCATAAGTTGGGCCATTAGTGGTTAACACATTGATTTGGGAAACTCACATGTAAGAAGATAGCCCCAAAGAGAGGCTGAACCCAGCCTTGTGAGATGTCATAATTAACGATGGGGACACCTCCCTTCACTCAATCATAACTTCTCCCCAATGGCTGAGACCCTATCATTGAATACTGATTCAGACACCCTTTCCTGGCACTCTCAGTTCCCCACCATCACTTTGTGCTGTCAGTGAAGATGACTGTTAGGACCCCTGTGGATGACACCGTTGGCACTTTGATTTGGAAGAAGGGCAGGTGTGCAGTCCTTGCATCCACCATCAGTTGGATGGCACCAGCCCAGTGTCCCTGCCCCAGTGCAGAAGGCAGGAGCTGCACCAGGTACCAGGCACTTCTCATGTGCACCGGTGGTGACCATGTTCCTCCTGGTGCCTCTCTGTAGGGCCAGTGTTTAACTCTGGCTTAACTCAGTACTCAGGACAATTTACACAACACTAAGATGTGTGTGGCATCACCACCTAGTGTGCCCCAAGCGCCACCTGCTGGGGAGCCTAGGCCAAAGCATCTTGTTGCTCAACTCAGAGCTAGCTGTTCACTGTTGTTCAGCCTTTGTAGGAAGGGGGTGGACGAAGACTTTAGACGCTCAGTTCCTCACAGAAACAGTCAGGGGCCGAGCTCTGTGCCTCTACTGTGTCTTGGCTGGTGTGCTTTGGCTTGGCCTCCAGGGTGTCACCTTGTTCCCACTGTGTGTTTCACTGAATCATGCCCGCTCTACTCCCAGGCTGAGTGCAGATGGTAAGAGGGAGAGCAGCAATTTGACCTCAAAGGCCATTCTAATGTGCAGCAAAACTATGTGTGCTTCTAACGGGCTGAAAATTAACATACTACCTTGCCCTGGTAACTAACCCTTTCTGAAAAAGCAAAGTCCTTCACCCTTTCCCTATCTCTTTGGATGGCCCAAGCAGGATTTCTGCTTCCAATAATGTTGGAGGAAACAGAAGGTGGCAAATTGGGGCTTTCAGAAACTTAAATGCCTGTATCCACGATCTGCCTGGCTAGCACTCAAGAGTAGGGTTTCTCGAGCAGGGGAGGTGTCCTAGCCAGTAAAGTGCCTGCCAGGCAAGTGTGACAACTTGAATTCAGATCCCAGCACTCATTTAAAAGTAGGGCATGTAGGGCTGGAGGGCTAGTGGCAGCCCTTTTTAAAGGCTAAAGGCTAACAACTAAAATGTTAAAAGTAGGGTGTGGTGGTGGTGCGCTGGGTAGGTAGAGACAGGTGGATCCCCAGAGCTTGCTACCAAGTGTAGCCAGTTGGTGATCTCTGGGTTCAGTGAGAGACCCTGTCTCAGAAAAACAAGGTGGAGAGTAATAGAGTAAGACACCCAACATGAAACTCTGACCTTCACACATGTGTATATCCACATACAAGAATAGACTTTCTGTATGTTTTGTCAGTACTGGCATAGAACTCAGGACCTCTCAGATGTCAGGCAAGTGCTCTACCATTGCGCTGTACCCCTGGCTTTAGAGTTTTAATATGCCAAAGGATGCTGCAGAATTTAATGGATGCTTTATTTTTAAAGATGCTAAAACTTTATAATCATAAAGTACTGAGGCACTTTAAAATTTTTACCAAAGGGTCCTACTTCCCAAAGGCAGTAACATCACCTTTAGTATAGTTGGATTCTGTTGATCCCCATTCTAAAGATGAAAACGTTGAGGCTTAGAACTTGACGCTCACAGTTCCACAGCCAAGAAGTGGTAGAGATGAATCTGTAATCCAAACCTTTACATGTTGGCTCATGGATTGCTAGCAAGACACCAAGGGGCAGGCAGGATGTCCATCCACCTGTAGCCTCTCCTTACATACATTGCTGGCTGTGTATGTAATTCTTAGCCTTTGCAGGATGGAAAGCCAGGCCTCTATCCTTTTACAAAAGCCTTTCTGAGGTGGGTGATAGGGACAGAAACATGAATCTGGCCTCCTTGACAGCTTACCCAGGCATACTTTGGGGGGAAATCAGTGCTGAAGGGCCCGGCATTTTCAAAGTTGCGTGTAACAGTGAGGAGCTCAGAGCAAGAAGCTGGGTGGTCAGGCAGTGCTCAGGGACCCAACTCACATGCAAAGGATGGCAGTTGTTACTTACCGACTTTGTGGGTTTCTTTTTTTTTTTCTTTCTTTCTTTCTTTTTTTTTTTTTAAGCACCTGACACATACCAGGCTAGAAAATCGGGGTATAACGGTGACCCAAAAGGTAGAGTTCCTAATGTGGTAGTGTCAGAAAGCCAAGCTAGGACCAGGTCATAGGCACACGGGTTAGTGCCGTAAGCGTGAGGAAGTGTTTTCCCCACCCGAACTTCTCCAACTGCTTCATCCTGCCCTGTTCTGGCCACTGGAAACATTGTACTGACCACAGGGCTTCCATACCACCCAAACCATTCCCCAGACAGAGTATCTCAAATGTGTCTTCAAGGCTGGAGGTCCCACTGTATAGAACAGAGGCTAGATTGGAACAAAGAAGAAACTAGGAGCTGGAGCCATTTAGGTCAACATTTAGCCACTGCCTGCATGGGGCCAGCATCATGTGCTATACGATGTCTGTGGACATGTAAGGTCCTCCCTGAGCACCTGGGCTTGTGGCTCACAGTTTTGGTGGGAGATCTGGTATGTCGAAGGGGCATTCTTGTGCCAAGCACAGGAGCTGATCCATGTCTGAAGGTCCCACTATCATTAGGGCCGGGTATGGTGTTGCTTTTCAAAGACTTTCTTAAAACCTCTGTGTGAGTGAAATACAACCCTTAACTTAACCTCTGCTTCTCTCATCCTCCCCTCTCCTATTTGTATGTCTGTCTCTATTTCCCTCTCTGTGCATGCCCTTCTGGCCCTGTCCCTCTTCCTTTATTTTAATTATGATTTCTGGGCCTGTGGATTGGTTTGTTGGTCCCTTGTGTGACCCCTTCCCTGCTGCAGAACTCATCCAGCTCCGCCTCCTCAGAAGCTTCGGAAACCTGCCAGTCAGTGAGCGAGTGCAGCTCCCCCACCTCAGTCAGCTCAGGCTCCACCATGGGCGCCTGGGTGTCCACAGACAAGGTGACTGGCCAGAGTGGCAGCTGTGATGGGCTGTTCCCCCTGCCTTGCCCCTGCCTACTATGTACACAGACACCACAGCCATAGGAACCTGGGAACTCAGGATCTGAACCAAGAGTAGGGCCCCTCTTGGGGACAGACTGGGAGGCAGAGGGCTTTTTCTTGAACGGGTTTTATGGCTGCTAAGCAATGACTGTGTTGGTCCTTCAAGGGAGAGGAAAGGGTATGGGGAATTTGGAGATGTGAATGAAGGCGTCTTCCCAGAACAGGTGTCCTGTGTTCATTCATTCTCCCCTCTTCCTTCTTAAGCACTCCACAAGACTGTTGGATGTGACATCTCACTGTGTCTGAGGCCATGTTCTTTTCTGCCTTTTAGTTTGCACCCCTTCACCCCTGCCCCTGTTTGGAATGTGCTCCTGAACTGTGTGATGGATTTGGAAACCTAGAATGAACAGATTCATTTGAATATGCTTTCAAATGTTTTAATTTGCACAATGAGATGAGCTAACCTTGATCACCATGAAATTATGCTTCACTAGTTAAATCATGAACAAAACACTGAGAACATCACAAATTAAGGACACTGATCATTTTCTAAACTATTCTAAAATGTAGGTAAATAAGTCCCTAGCTGCACACTTAAGCCAGGTTTATGCATTCTTTGCTCCCTGGCTGTCTTCTGGCATCATGGGTCGTCCACAAGCAGCAGAGCCCCAGTGTTGTTTCTGTGTGTAAATACTGAGGTTTCCCCTCACCCTCAATGCCATCATGTATCTCTGCACTCATCCTGTTATATTAATTTTTTTTCCCTTTTCTTTCCCCTTTTTTGTTTTGTTTCCAGTTGTCTAATGGGTTTTCTCACTATAGTTTATCAAGTGAGTCCCATGCAGGGCCGGTGGGTGCAGGCCCTTTCCCTCATTGCCTGCCTGCCTCCCGCCTGCTCCCTCGAGTCACCTCTGTCCACCTTCCTGACTACGCTCATTATTACACCATTGGGCCCGGCATGTTCCCGTCATCTCAGATCCCTAGCTGGAAGGTTTGTGTCTCCTCCCCCTCCCCCTTCATTGCCTCTGTGCTCACCCCTCTTGGCACCGTCCTCCCCTTGACTCTCCCTTTCCCTTCCTTTCACACTCTGCCTTCTTCCCCATAACACCTCTCCCTCAGGAAGCTCCCCCTTGGGGGAACCAAAAAGCAGCTGGCAGCTTGGAGATAGTTTGTTTCCAGGTGGAACAGAGACCTGAGTCTTCCTTTAGGGAACTTTAGGTAGTGGGAGACTGTGCAGTGCAGGGAGTGTCAAGCCAGGCTCTGCATCGGGGTGGAGGGGCCTCTTTCCCTCCTGGGCCACCTGCAGTGTCTTGTTTTATCTGAGAGCCTCTACTGTCTTCCTTAGCCATATACCCAACTTGTCCCCTAATGAGTCTCCTTACTGAGGCAACAGAACCACAGCCCAAAGTGTGCTTTGGACCATCGTGTAGCTGAGTAGTACACGGAGACTTTTTTTCACTTTTGATTGTTGTATATAGAAACGTGTGCTTCATTATAAAAACATTTTTGAAGTCACTTATAAAGCAGTGGAGGCACCAGGAGAGTATTCTGGACTTGTGAAGTCGGTTCCTGGGCTGCCGCATTTTAGCAGGTTGTGACTTCATCACCCATTGAGTCCTCAAGACCTGCTGCTGGCCCTGGAGCCCTCCCATCAAACTATTAGAGGCCCAGTTTCCCAGAGGTGAAGAGTCGCTGGCAGCACTCTAGTGCCTCCTGGTGGTCATTCTGCCTTGTCTCAATCTTTGAGTTGCTCCAGGAATGATGATTCCAGCCTGCAGAAGGGTAGGCCTGGCTGCTTGAAGTGGCTCTCTCTCCTGACTGGTGCTTTAACCTATAATGACCACCTATCAGATCATTTCTGCCTGCCTGGTTGATGAGGGTTTTTAATCTGTGGGCAGAGATGAAGAGAGAAGGGAGGAACCCAGGGAATCCCCCCAGTGGGTGGGGCTATGCAGAAGGATGTGGGCTGGTCTCTGTGAGAGCTGCCTTCTGTGGGCGACTGAGTGGGTGCCTGCAGCCCTTTCTGTGGGGTAAGGGGCCCTGGCTCCTGACCACAATATTCTACTTAGGACTGGGCAAAGCCAGGCCCCTACGACCAGCCACTGGTGAACACACTCCAGCGTCGCAAAGAGAAGCGTGAGCCAGACCCCAACGGGGGAGGACCCACTGCTACAGGAGGCCCATCTGTAGCTGCCGATGAGGCACAGAGACCACGGAGCATGACGGTGTCAGCTGCCACCAGGGTGACACACTAGTTCTTTATAACTGGTTGGGTTCACGTAGCTGGGCTGGGTACTGTATGCTGGCCACACTTGGAAGCCTAGGTAGCCTAGTTGCTGGAGGAATGGGGCTCCATTGCCCTACCCCTGCTCCGCAGTGTGTGGAAGACTGGGGGAGAAACCTTTGTGGGAATCAGGCATTCAGAACCTCCTAGTTCCTGTATGCATCCTACAAAGCACAGCACCCATCCAGGCAAGTCAGTAACCATGTGACATGGTACTCACAGGAGCAGAGTGAGACTGATGGGGTCCCACCCACGGCAGTGTGTGGTGGCTCCAGGCTCTGATGTTTCATGGCTCTGGTGGCTTGTCTGTCTCTTCTTCCATCCTGCAGCCTGGTGAAGAGATGGAGGCCTGTGAGGAGCTGGCACTTGCCCTGTCACGGGGCCTCCAGCTGGACACGCAGAGGAGTAGCCGAGACTCGCTGCAGTGCTCTAGTGGCTACAGCACCCAGACCACCACCCCATGCTGCTCCGAGGACACCATCCCCTCCCAAGGTACGAGGCGCCCAGCTTGCCGGGCGGCTCCAGGTGAGGAGGCAGAGAGCTGGTGGCTGTTCTCTCGGCGTAACCCCTGGCCACATATGGGCTTTGGAATTGTTCTGTCACCTGGGAGTGCTTTGGAGTGGTGATCTGTAGTTGACTTGTCGCTAGCTGCTGCATAAAAAATGACCAGAACGTTAATAATTTGGCGTACTTCTCACCACCAGGTGCATGGTACTCCCTAGCCTGAAGTGAGAGATATATGCCATTATAGCAGCTTCATGTTTGCTTGACATTTTGCAAAGTTTTCCTACTTAATCTTCACAACCATGCACAGGCTATTTTATCCCCATTTTACAGATGTGGAAACTGAGGCTCAGTAACTTGTCCAAATCCACATAGCTAATGAGTAAGAGCTAGACTCACAATAACACTCAAACTCTTAATCCTCTGTCTTTCTCTCTCTTTCTCCCTTATCCCAACATAAGCACAAGCAGGAAGTCTCACAGCTAAGAATAGCTCTGTGTTGGTTGACCAAAAGTCACTTGCAAGCCATCTGTCAAAGCATCCAAGCCAGAGAATCTCAGGTGGTGGTTTTGTTCCCTAAGGAACATGGCAATGTCTGGTCACCTGTTTGGTAGTTACAAAACTGGAGGGGTAATCCTGGTGTCCAGTGGGTAGGGGCCAAGAATGCTGATAAACGTCCTATAAAGCACAGCACCCATCCAGACCCTGCCCCACACAACAAAGAACTGTCTGCCTCCAAATGTCAGTAGTCCTGTTGTTCAGAAACTGAGCTGTGTGATGCTTAATCTGTAAACTGCCCCCTGCCCCCAACACATTTGAGATACGTACCGTGCCATTTTTAAGTAGATGTGAGCACATGCCACTCGAGAGCCTCTGTATCTCGTTTTCAGGAGCTGTTTTTTTTTCTAGCCCTTACCTGAATCTGGGAGATGGTAAGGCCTATGCTGGTCTTTTTGAGGTTTCTCATATCTAAGGACCAGAGGATTGGACAAATTTGGCTCCTCTTTTGTCCCTCATATTCATCCCAGAGGTGGTTGGAGGCAGCTTTGCTGTAGCGTGGCAGCCTTGCATTCTTCCATCTCACGTCTGTCGTGGGTGCCCAGGGCACATCGGTGAACAAGCAAAGGACCCTGTAGAGAATTCATACTGAAGCAGAAGATGCTTCGGTGATCTGGGTAGGGATGGGGGTACCGGAAGCACGTGTAAGGCTATGTGTACTCTCCCTAGCATGCTCTCTGTAGAATGGGAAAGAAGAGCCGCTACCTTGGGTGTGTCTAATCAAATCATATCTTTAGTTTCAGATTATGATTATTTCTCTGTAAGCGGTGACCAGGAGGCAGATCAGCAGGAATTTGACAAGTCCTCCACCATTCCAAGAAACAGTGACATCAGCCAATCCTACAGGCGGATGTTCCAAGCCAAGCGCCCAGCCTCAACTGCTGGCCTTCCCAGCACCCTCGGACCAGCTATGGTCACCCCAGGGGTTGCAACCATCCGACGGACCCCTTCCACTAAGCCTTCTGTCCGCCGGGGGACCATTGGAGCTGGTCCTATCCCTATCAAGACACCAGTGATTCCAGTCAAGACCCCAACTGTCCCAGATCTCCCTGGGGTTTTGCCATCCCCTCCAGATGGGCCAGAGGAGCGGGGTGAGCACAGCCCTGAGTCTCCATCTGTGGGTGAGGGGCCCCAGGGTGTCACCAATATGCCCTCTTCCTTGTGGAGTGGCCAAGCTTCTGTCAACCCTCCACTTCCAGGCCCAAAGCCTAGTATCCCTGAAGAGCACAGACAGGCGATTCCAGAGAGCGAGGCTGAAGACCAGGAAAGGGATCCCCCAAGTGCCACTGTCTCCCCAGGCCAGATTCCAGAGAGTGAACCTGCTGACCTGAGCCCAAGAGAAAACCCTCAGGGAGATGACATGCTGAATGCCATCCGGAGGGGCGTGAAACTGAAGAAGACCACAACAAATGACCGCTCGGCCCCGCGCTTCTCTTAGGCTCTTGTAGTTCCCAGGAAATGCTGCCAGTTGGGGGATGAACTCTTTAATTAATGAAACCTAATTTGTCTTGATCCATTCCAATCTATAAGCAAACAAAAGATTTTGTAGGCAATTCGGAATTCCGCTCTTTTGAAAGCACTTGACATCTTTAGATAAGAATTAAAAGCAACACATGCAACTGACATAATCTTGATCTTTTCAGTTGTAAATATCCATAGTTTTCTTTCTGCACATTTTAATCTTAGTTTCCCTTTTGATTTTTCTGAAGGTGCCAAATTCCATTTAACTTTTTTACAAGTCTTTGTAAAATTTTAAATGCATAAAGGGAGGGGGTGGGTGGGACAGGGGAACCAGGAAGTGATTTCACACAAGGGGTACTACATTCTTTTTCTTTTTCTTCCTGCAAGCTTTTGTAGATGCACTGTAGTAGTATAGTTTAGAAGCAAACTCAAGTTATTTTAATGGACAAACAAAATGGATAAGGAGTAAAGACCTCATTCACATATACTGTGTTCTGGATGAGACACGCAGGAGAAATAATTGAGCAATATTCAGAGAAGTAAACCTGGAAATGGTGGACTGTGTTGGGATTGGGGGGAGGGCTGTGGGAGGGGCACACTGTCAACGTAGCCGATCTTTTACATTTAAGAGTAGCCTTGTAGGTTGAATTTCTAGTTGCTTCATGGTAAATGCATCTGAATAAGCCATACTAGATTGCAGTGTTTGTTTCTGTAGGGTGTTTAAGGACTTCTTTCTCCCACCATTCCTCGACTGCACACAGCACCCACCTCCAATCCCGCGCATGCTGCTGCCACTGGGTAGACATAGCCCCCCGCCCCCCCTTTACTTTCTTGTCTATTTTTTTCACTTCCATTGAATCCAAATACATCCAAAAGGGTAAGGCAATTTAGAAAATGTGAAAACATTTAAAAACGATAGCAGGGAATTCATAGTTATAGAAAATGCCTTTTACTTAACTGTGCCCAGCAGGCTGGGTGCATTGAAAAGCCCAGATATTTTGAAAAACCTCAAGCAGATTTAACAAGGGTAACCAGCTTGAAGTCTAGCAGTTTGCCAGTGTGCTTACCAATCTGGGGGCTTGTTTTTCTTCCCTTCCTTAAATAAAGGGCAGTTAATTGGCTTTGTATTGAACACTGAAGAGTGGAGGATTTATTTATCGCCACTGGGGAGTCTGACCACTACATTCTTTTTTTTTTTTTTTTTTTTCTTTCTAGGCAATGTTTTTCTTTTTGGAATGGATTTATGTCTTTTTTTTTTTTTAAGTGGAAATTAAATTTGTTATAATGCCCATCCCCTAAGTCAACAGAGATTTGTAGATTTAAAGGGATCACATCTGAAGACAGCTTTTTTTAAAAAAAAAAAAAAAACAAAAACAAAAAGTCTCTTAGTGCAGTAGCTGACAGCACACATTTGTGACACTGTCCCTAGGAAGAGCTCGGTATGTACCACGTGCCCTGCAAATCTCTGTTGGCTCTAACCTCCAATGATATAATCTTATGCTTTAATATATAACCATGCTGGATGTGAGGGAAATGTTCCTGTACAGTCACTGTTCTATATCTTCATTTAACACTGCTGTGATTACTCAACGGCATTTTATGTTGCAGCTTTAAAGCAAAGGCATGATAATTAGAAACAACTTAAGCTTTTCTTTGAAAAACAAGCTCCTTTTACAGACTATAAGCAAACAGTAGTGCCTGTGGCTTAGCCCACCAATCTTGATGACTAAAAGTAGCTGACGCGTTGTGCATATGATGCTTGAGATGGTTTTTGCAAAATGCAGAAATCTCTGCAAGGTCATTATAATAGATAAAAGTGGTATTTTAAACCTTCAAAATAAATGGATGTAACTGTACCTTGGTACAGCTTTTCACTTGTTTAGTTTTTAAACGTTAGTATAATCTGAATAAATTTAATATAAAATGTTGCCAAATTCAATGTAGAAAGAATGTGACAAACATGTTGGGTAGCTCTGTTTGTGTTTTTGCATATTGTAAAAGCAGTGTCACAGCTGAAAATAAACCCTTTCTAAAGGTAAATTATTGTGGTTTAGTTGCTAGTTTGTACTGAGAGTTGACCTCTCTCCCTGTGCAGTTTTGTTCTAAACTTGTATAAATAACAGTTGTGTAATGTGTCTCCCTTCTACATTGTAACAATTGCTTCAGCCTACATATAAATAAAGAACCACTAGAAAGAAAAAAAAGCCCTGTTATTTTAAGTCTTAGTCAAATGTTAGGACTCAAACTGCATTTAGAAAACGGATGAGATATTTCTGATGGTTAGCTCTAAAGATCAGAGTTGCCTAAACTGATTATTTGAAGTTACCTACCAAAAACTAAAAGTGGCCAGCCAGTTCAGGTTGGTAGTTTTAAGACTGCTTTACACATTTTTTTACATTAAAATTTTTTGTGTGTATGTACATAAGTGGGTATGAATATGCCATTGTACATGTATGGAGGTCAGAGGACAATCTGGGAGTCAGTTCTCACCTACCATGTGGATCCCAGGGATATGGAACACAGGCTTTTAGGCCTCCATTGTACATGTATGGAGGTCAGAGGACAATCTGTGGGAGTCAGTTCTCGCCTACCAGGTGGATCCCAGGGATATGGAACACAGGCTTTTAGGCCTCCATTGTACATGTATGGAGGTCAGAGGACAATCTGTGGGAGTCAGTTCTCGCCTACCAGGTGGATCCCAGGGATATGGAACACAGGCTTTTAGGCCTTATACTGAGCCACCTTGCTAGTCCTCTTTTAAAAATTTTTACGTCCAGAAGTGTTTTGCCTGTATATACTAATAATACCTGGTGTGTGTGTTGTGTATGCAATGCCTACAGAGGCCATAAGAGGCCGACAGAGTATGTGGGTGCTGGGAACCAAGCTTGGGTTCCTCTGCAAGAGCATCAAGTGCTACTACATCCTTACCTTTGAGTCTCCAAAGAATCTGACTGGAAAACCATGTTTCAGATGTCACAAAATTTGCATTCCAGATCAGACCCTTTAGCTCCAGCCATCAAACTTCCAGTCCACCTTCAGAATGCCAAGAGCTCTATGCCTGCTGTGGACTGTGCTTCTAAGGGACAGTTGCTCTTTCATAACTAAAATCCCATTATTACAATCCTCAGAAAACCAAGGTAGCTGGAGGTAGTGGTACATATTTGTAATCAGTACATGAGCCACTAAGAGACTTTTTTTTTAAAAGACCAAAAAGATATAACCCCTGATTATTTCTCCTCTCTGAATAGTCTCTCCATTGTAGTTAATTAAGGCTTTGCCTTAGACCTCCACACAGAACTTGGCTGGGGAGATGGCTCAGTAGGTAAAGTGCTTGCTATGCAAGCATGAGGATGAGTTTGCATGCCCAGAACCCATGTACAGCTGGGTGGGAGTAGCACACAAGAGACCCTGTCACAATGAAAGTGGAAGGCAAGGACCAACACTGGGGGCTCTTCTCTGCTTCAGACGTGCCCCTCCATGTACACACACACACACAGTCAACTCAGTCTTAACAATCTTGCATTTGGTTCTGCTGTTGAGTTTTCCCTTATTGAGCACACCTGCTATCAATATGATTATATACACATCTATTTTTTTTGTTTTTCACATTACATAAATAGAACACAATATGGGCAGTCACTTGGTGCTACAGTCATCCGTGGAAGAACACCTCAGTCATGCTGACCATGTTTAGTTGTTTTTATTAGGGCAAGTGTGTACGTGTTGCATAACTTCTTTCACTTGCAAGCATGAACAGGGGACAGCCCTGTGTCTAGACTGGCTGCTCCCGAGGTCTGGTCACAATATGCCACCACAGTGGGGGCAAGTCACCTGCCTTTCTGGCAGGAGGCAAGGCTTCAGTCTTAGGACCATCAGGTGGGGTCTCCTCTTGCAGCTGCTTAACCTAGAAGGGGGCAAGGAAAGAATGATTATCAGAAAAATCTAACTGTAAGACCTGCCTGCCATGATCAAATGACAGCTTTTTTATGTGATGTCTGTATACCCAAATGTTTTTCCATATGAACCTGTGTTACTCCCATTCTCACTCTTTTCACTCAGAAAAATGTCTCTGAAGCATCTGTTTGTTTTCCTGAAAGTCAGTGTCTTATATATTTATAGCAGTTATTCTGCCCTAGAACTTGCTACATAGCCCAAGCTAGCCTTGAACTCACAACCTTCTTTGCTGCAGGGTTCCTAGTGCTTGGATTGTAGGTGTGTGCCACCAAGTTAGACAAACCTAACCATTAACTCAACAAAGCTGAGAACTGTACCTCTCACTGTCTAGGCAAAAGCACGGTACCTTTCTAGTTCTTCTTGTCATGATCTACTGGTCCCCCAAAAAACACTTGTGTCTTAAATGCTTTCCACAAGCTACCATTAACATTCAGTTCAGGCAGGTCATGGTGGTGCACACCTTTAATCCCAGCACTTAGGAGGCACAGGCAGACAGATCGCTGAATTCAAGGCCAGCCTAGTTTACACAGCGAGTTCCAGGCCAGGCTGGGCTATGCAGTGAGACCTCATCTCAGTGTATCAGGGATTAGTTATAAGGTTCCTAAGTAACAGCCAGGACAAGGATTAAGATAAAGTCACATGTAAAAGTCAGCTCAGTTCTGCCTGATGTCCAACTACCCTAGGTCTAGGATTCTTGCAATCACTGTCCTAACAGGAAAGGAGACCTAAAAGCTAGAGCTCCTTCCTCATGTGTGCTGCTTAGCAGCGATGAGATGGAACAAGGGGAGGACAGCAGGAGGTTATCAGTGACCAGTGCAGAGTGAGCCTGCTGCTTACCAGGAAAACACAGACTTGAGCTTCCAAGTGTTGCAACACCATCTTAAAAAAAAAAAAAAAATACGGTGCCCCTTGGTCACAGTCACCTTTCTTCCACTCCATCTTGGCCAGGACTAATATCAACACCCTGTACTTTATCTCTACAACCAGCAAACTTCCAGAATTGTGAATTCAGATATCCAACATCCAACCACTGCCTGCCTACACTTGCTTAAATGCCTCTCTGAAACTTTGAAGAAACTGATGCATGCATCCTCCCTCCCAACCTGAGCTTTCTATATCAGCCTGTCTTTACTCCCTTTTAAAATTCAGCTTAGTTCCTGTCACGACAGTCACTCACCTTAAATCCCCTGTAACTCTGAACAAAGGGCATACTGTACCCACAGTTCAGTATTGCTAAAGAGAACATACTGGAACAAACTAAGGTCCTAACACATCTATTACCCAACATCAAGTGGGCCATCACCCCACCTGGCAAGCCTATTTTCCCCAGTAAACTGACCCTCAAGTTTGGCAGGCCTCTCCCATTCCCCACACAACCAGATCTGCTTCCTTTGGCTGTTCCTCTCGGTCCATTAAACCAGAAGCCACTGCACAGAAGGCTCATCTTCAAAACTATCCAGGATGGACTCACATATAGATTATGTACAAAGTAGTAGAGAAAATATTTTCCATCTCTCTCTCTCTCTCTCTTAAGGATCTCATTAATTTCTGTGGCTTTAAATACAACCAAAATCTCACAACTTTATTTCTAGACCAGATTTCCATTACCAAAGCTGCCTATTCTTCCTATCTGCTGGTTCTAACACCACATCTCTGAAGGTCTGACTGTCCCTGACATCTGGAAGGTCCTCTACCCTACCTGTCTTCCCTGTCTCCATCACCATACCAAACTCCAGTAAAGCCCGGAAACCTGATTTCTCTCTATCCCTCACTCATCTCCAACAATCAATGTTCTTGTCCATCAGGAAATACCCTACGTCTATTTCCTTCCACAGCACCACTCTATTACTGGCCACACAACCTTCCACTAAACTAATACACTATCCGTAGGTTGGAGTTCCTGCTTTTCCTCTTGTCCTTTCCATCATTTACACTGCAGCAAGAATGAGATTCTAAAACACAACTAGGACTATCCTAAGTTAACTGAAAAAACACCTACGGCTCTAAGGCACAGGAAGGCTAAGGAACAGGGTAGAAAAGGAAGATCAGGCAAAAGACTAAGGAGGGGGGAGAAGCAAAATTAGAGAACATTACAGAGTACAACTTCAGCAGGAAGATGGCCGATGGGAAATTAACACACTGAGAAACTAAAGTATTTCTGAGAGGCAAGAGGCCAAAGGAACTGACATGGCCAGAGTGTGGACCTAAGCATGTAGAGGCAAACTCCCTCTGCATAGCACTGTGGAACACTATGGGAAAGACGCACCTCCCGCTCCCAGCTTTCCATCTGCAGTTTCTTCCACTGCTCTCTCTTGGCAAAGTAATCAGGATACATGGCCTTTTCAGAAGGATGCCAGAAATCTAAGCACCACTCTGGAACCTGCAGGAAAAGGCAATGTTATTTCATAGGATGTATTTACAAATACCATGGGCAAAGTGAGCATGGTGGTGCCCGCCTTTAATCCCAGCACATGGGAGGCTGAGGCAGGCGGATCTCTGAGTTCAAGGTCAGCCTGGTGCATTTCAGGTCGGCTGGGGATACAGGGAGACCCTGTCTCAAAAAGACCAAAAAACCAAAACCCAAAAACCACAAATACCATGAACAAGGAAACAGAAGGGAAAATCCAAGAGCCTTTTATTATCAGTTACTGGGTTGGGAGGATGGCTAAGTGGATACAGTGCTTGCCACTCAAGCATGGAGACTGGAACTCAGATCCCAGCACCCACATAAAAGCCAGGCATGGGGATGAACACTGTAATGACAGTGCTGGGGAGGCAGAGTCAGGAGGATCCCTGGAGCTCAATGGTCAGTCAGCCTAGCTGAATCAATGAGCTCCAGGTTCACTGAGAGACCCTGTCTCAAAAACTAAAGGTGAAGGGCAACTGAGGGAGACACCCAAAGTTGACCTCTGGTCTCTACATGCACACACACGAATGCATAGATATACCACACACATTCTCATTCTCCCTCTCCTCTCTCCCCCACCTTCTCCCCTCTCCTCCCCTCCCCCTGTTATTACCAGACTACTTCTGATTCTAATTAATGAATAGCTGAGGAAGAGCTGGGACTGGAAATAAAGGAGAAGGCCTTAGAGTGAAAGGGCATCTGGTTGAAAAATAACAATGTTTGTCTGAGAAAACTGGTATCACTCTTTTTTGACTTCTGTTTCCCAAACAATGAGCATTATTTGTCAGTACTATCTAACCATCTTAGAAATACTCAACACGAATCCAAACTGGTTAACTTTAAGGTCCTCAAATGAGTTATGTACCAAATAATTTAATGCTTTGCTTTGCAAAACCCTGAAGGTAAATTCATTAAGGAAAGTCTTAATAGCATCTGGGAGAGAGAAAATTGACACCTGAAAAAAAAAGTGGCTGTCAACCATCTGGAAATCAAGTAGCCACTGCTCAAAGGGCATATGGTGTACAAGACTGAGGTCAGGGGACAAAGCTTGCCTCTTGGAAAGCAGTTGTCACTATAATCGTCACCTACCTTGTAGCACTCATATCTTTCATAGGAGGTACCCCCAGGAGAGTCAGGGAAGATATAGGGCTGAGGATGCTGATTTTCCCAGAATTCTTCTTCTGCCTCCCTCAGCAGCTGGGTGGCCTTCATCATATCTTTTTCATTCTTATGTTCTTCAAACCGTGCTCTCAACAAACAAGCAAAATAGCGGTATTTGTCCCTTAAATGGAAATGATTGTGGACATCAGAAATGTTATCTACTTGAGTGGGCAGTACAGTCTAGTCTGCACTCCTACCACCACCACCTTGATGTGTGGTGCAACTTCTCTGCACCTCCCTCACCCGCCAAAAGAGCAGCTACATCACTGCTGACTGCTTCCCCTGCAGCCCTCCAAACAGTAGCAGTAAAGCTGGGCGTGGTGGCACACACCTTTAAACCCAGCACTCAGGAGGCAGAGGTGAGAGGCTCTCTGTAAGAAAGAGGTTAGCCCGGTCTACATAGCAAGGTCCAGGCCAGCTGGAGCTAACAAGGAGACCCTGCAGCAAAAAGACTCCCCCCCCCACCAAAAAAAAAAAAAAAAGCAGCAAATACACAGCACTAAATACAGCCACTTTCCTCTCCTCCAATAAAGGAGCAAGAATTTCAACAAAAAAGGGGGTGGGGGAAGCTATAGCTTCTACAGGTTCATTCAGTATGTCCTCCGACCTTGTGCTAGGTGCTCTACCAAATCCTGGAGATTGGAAGAAAAATGATGTGACCTGGTAGAGTTTTGCTCAAATAATAAAGACGCATGTTTAAATCCTGACTCTCACACTAGCTCATAATCTTAGTCAAGTAATAGTCTGGTGATTAAGAGACTGTGAGCAGACATCAGTGGGGACTCTGACAACAGTTCGGGCCACAGACAGCAATAGCCTAAAGCGGGCTGCTACAAGAGCAGAGAGAACACAGAGAACAACAAAAACCACCTAGAGCACCAAGTCATGAGGGCGGGCCTGAACCTTAGTTTCACTGTTAGCTGTGTGGTGTGAGGTAAGTTACTTAATGTCTATAGGCCATGAGTTTCCTTTCTATGTGTTAGTAATAGTGTCTTTACCTACAGGTTGTCACAAAGTTTCTATGAGCTTAAACACAAAGCACATTGCACAAAGTGGTTTGTACATATCGAGTATTCAAAATAATATAACTGACATTACATGAGAAGAAGAATTTACAAAACTCAGTGTCCAATAATATATGATGCATGCATATGTGTGTTACTGGCAGAAAAGTAACATAACTAAGGAATTGAGGACAACTCCAAGGACTAAAATCAGAATGGGGGAGTGAAAAAAAATGGCTTAAAAAAATTTGGGTAAAAGCATACACCTTTAATCCCAGCACTCATAAGGCAGAGGCAGGTGGATTGAGGCAGGTGGAACGCTCTCTGAGTTTAACAGCAGCCTGGTCTACATAGTGAGTTCCAGGCCAGTCAGGCTACACAACTTGATGGTACACATCTGTAATCCCAGCACTTGGGAGGCTGAGATAGAAGGCCCTCTCAGGTTAAAGGCCAGTTTTGCCTACACAATAAGAACCTTTCTCAAGAAAACAAAAACAAAATAAATTAAAAAATAAGAGCCAGGTGTGGTAGCACACACCTTTAATCCCAGCCCTTGGGAGGCAGAGGCTAAAAAAAAAAAAAAAAAAAAAAAAAAAAAGATTAACTCTACAGGTGACCTGGCAAATGAGCACAAATGGTAGGTAACTCAAGTCTCAGCATTAAATACGGATGTGCAAAGTACTAGCACTACAGATTCTTAGGATGAACTGGAGAACAGCATTAAAGTGGCAAATAAGGGCGAGGGAGATAGCTTAGTGAATAAAGTGTCTGTTGCAAGCCTGGGGGCCTGAGCTTGGATCCCCAGAACCCAAGTAAAGCCTGATATGGTACCATGCATATGTAATCTCAATGCTCTTACATGAGATGGGAGGCAAGGCAGATTGCCAGGAGCTGGTGGGCCAGCTAGCCTGGCGTACCTTGATGGAAAGCAAGGACTGATACCTGAGATTGTCCTCTGATCTCCACACATGCCTGGCAGACACATGCACTCACACTCACATACACAAAAGATTAAAAAAGAAGGCAAATGAAGGAAGAGATTCAGGCAAGAACTGAGAAAAGGGTGTCAGATTTGAAATATGCTGGGTCGGTGTTGTCGCAGTAGCTACTTTTATCCTTTCCTTCACAACTGTTGAATTCTAAATATTTCCAGCTGTAGTAGACCAATATATGAAAAAATTTAAATTTATTAGTAGTGGGATGTGTCAGGGGGCACACAAGCCATGGCACAAGTGTGGAGGTCAGAGGACAACTCTGTGGAGTCGGTTTTCTCCTTCCACCTTTACGTGGGTTCTGGAGACAGAACTCAGGACATCAGGCTTGTACCACTGGAAAGCAAGTGCCTTTACCTCAAGCCATGAATTCTTGACAGTTTATCTTCCTTTGTGAGAATGATTATTATTTTATTATCTATTAATTTACTTGTCATTTTTCTCCAAATATTCATGAGCTGTTACAGGCCAAAGAAAGAATAACTTTTATTTGGCATCTAGAATAGAAGCTAAATTACAAATTCTGTCAAGAAAAACTTACAAAAGAATCTAATAATAATACAGTATTTTAGCTAGTACCTTCCTGCATAGCAAAAAGAGGCACAATCACAAACCTGCATTCTGGGTTTAAGGGATACTCTTCTAAACCTCCTGTTTCCATCCTGTGTAGGTATTTCTCAGCGTCCTTACCTGGGACTAGGTTTTAGGTTAAGATTGTGGAAGCCTGTTTGGCATTTACACATCTCGGGTTGTCACCTTACCTTGCATTTTTTTTCTTGACTCTCTTTTTTTTTTTCCAGACAGTCTCCCTGTAGCCCCGGCTGGCCTATAACGCGCTATGTAGACCAGGCTGGCCTCAATCTCACAGAGATCCACCTGCTTCTGCAGGGACTAAAAATGTGAGCCACCACTTTGCATATTTTATTTTAACAATATAAGGTTGTTTGTCTACCAGCTCTGCAGCCTACGAAGGATACCTGTCTCCCCCAGCATCTGCCACCAAATGCAGCTCCTAACATTGGTTAAAGCAGAAAGGAAATAATTACGTAGAGGTGAAAAAGATGTGAAGGTAATGAAAAGAATGGATGAAACTAAATAGATAAAGGCTGATGGGAATCGTAGGAGGTTGATGCTTTCCAGTGAGGTACCTAAAATTTAATCCTGGCTTCGCCAAGCAGTAGCTAAACAACCTTGAAAAGTCAATGCCGGCGCGCCTCTTTCTGTTTGTCTGTAAAATAAGGCTAAAATAATCCCTAACTTCTGAATGGTTCTGCAAACTAAAGATCATGCACACGTCATTGTTAACATTAAGAACGACAGGCTCACGAAGAAAACTTTAGTATTGGAACCATGACAGTGAGAGTTCTGGCACTTGCCTTTATTTTACTGAATCCTCAAGCAAGTCTCTGCGTCCCGCCCCACCTAAGCGTCCTGGAAGGTCCCGCAGCAGCGCAAGCTGCACCTGGTCACAGGCCAGAGCGGGCTCCTTCCCACTGCGTCCCCAAGTCCTTGAGCGGCCGCGTCCCCAGGGCGGCCTCCGCCCCCTCGTCCCGCGTCCCCTCGTCCCACCTGTGGACACACCACGACTCGAGGTGGCGCAGCGCCCGTTTATACAGCCGCAGCACCTTCTGCTGGTGGCTCAGGAAGGCCGGGGGAGCGCAGAAGGCCATGGCACCCGGCTCACCTTCAATGGCCGCAAGGGCTGCTGGGAACCTTCTCGGCAGCCCTGGGCCTGGGGCGGAGCGAACAGCCGGAAGAGCGCCCCGACCTGACACCACTTCCGTTTCCGTCGGGGAGGAGCCTGCCTAGCTGTCATGAGTCGCTTCAAGTTCGTGGGTAAGGGGACGGTTTCCAAGGTGTGGGGCTGGGCCCGGCGTGGGCCTTCCTGGCGGTGCCGGGCGCCTCTCTCCGCAGCCCGGGCCCCAGGCGTGGCGCGCTCCGTTCTTCGAGGGTGGAGAGGGGTCCGAGGAGCCTCGGGGTGCCGGCGATGAATGGCCTGCTCCTTGATCAGGGATGGTTTCCCGAGTGTGTGCATCTGTGAGAGTTCACAAGCCGCACACACTTGTGATTTGTACTTTTTTTCAACATGTGTTATATTCAGTTAAAAAAGAGGGGGCTGGAGAGATGGCTCAGCAGTTAAGAACACTGGTTGTTCTTACAGAAGACCTGGGTTCGAATCCCAGCACCCACATGGCAGCTAACAACTGTCCGTAACTCCAGTCCCAGTGGATCCGACAGCCTCTTCTGTCCTCCGCGGGCATTGCACGACACGGGTGCACTTACCTACATGCAGGTAATACACGCATACATATAAAATAATAAAATAAAATATTTTAAAAAAGAGGAAGCGGTGTATGTAAGTCAGTGGTAGGCTGCCTAGCGAGTCTGAGTCTGATCCCCACTCCACACGCCCCCCAAAACAAAACAAAACAAAACACAGTCCTCAAAGCGAATCACTGTATTCTTGCCTGTCTCATGAACCTCCAGCTCTTCTCCATGATCCACTGGATGATGGCTTCAAGGCACCAGTTCACACAGTCATTAGGGCATTTAACAGTTACTCTAATTGGTGGGCTTGGCATTGGCCTAGGAACATGGCCCAAAGTCCTGGTCCCAGCTCTGCTGATGTCACCAGGTGGAAAAAGTGGAGGACATAAGCAGTGGAAAGAGAAATAAATTCTACTTGGCAAATACCATGGTCCATTCAACAGCTGTAGAACCAAAGGGGAGCACAGCAGGGATTCCAATGAGTATGATATTACTTAGAAAATCTGAGGGACATTGTAAGAGGGAAGATTAGAAAGATAACTTACCCGCAGACTCATTTAGTTTAGTTTCACTCTGTGTAAAGTGGAATCTTACTGAAGGCATTCATTCAGCAAATCATTGAATGGCAGTTACATGCCAAGAATCTTGCCCTCTGGGATGCAGTAGTGGGTAAATCTCAACCTGATCCTTGCTTTCGTGGAGTTTCCAGCTACTGAAGGGTGGGGCATGGCAGTGATGGAGGAACCCTGATAGCCATTATGTAGATTTATTGGATAGGGAGAAACAGGGAAGTATTTTGGATCTTGAATCAGGGCAGTGAAAAAGTCAGAAAAGAGAAATGGAACAGATGTACACAGAATTTAGCACAGGAGAGTTGAACACTCAAAGATGACTCTGGTTGGATGATACCTAAATATGGCATGGAGGCATGGCTGGGAGGGCCACCCAGGTCTATTTGGATCAGGTTCATTCAAGAGTCTTAAGAGACATCCAGGTGAAGACATCATCCAGGCACTTAGAATTGTAGTTAGGCACTCAGGAAAGTGGTTAAGGTTATAAACTTAAGATCTGAGAGAGATTTTAAGCAATACAATTTTTCCAATATATTGTATTAAATAGATTGAACTGTAAGAAATCTAGTAGTGCAGTTAGTTTTCATACTGGAGGGGTAAAACCTATGCCCAGTCTAAGCAAATGTGAGGGAGAATGTTAGTGGCATAAAAGTAGTCGAAAAAATTCTGTGAGAAAACTGGGGTCTTGAAGGTTGGGTGTTCCTTATATAATGAAGTTTCTGTAAAACCTCAAAAGGATGGGGTTTGGAGAGTTGTTAAGTTGCTTAACATGAGGTGCTAGAACGTGGTGTGTTCTAGAGAGGGCATAAGAGTCCCTCATTTCTCTCAACACACTGGCTCTGCTTCTCTTCCATTTTGATATAACAGATTATTGGGGTATAGGCTGGGTGTTTCCAGGTTCTTGGCCCCTTATCCGAAGAATCAAAAATAAGGGCTCACACAGATTTATAAGAGTAGCCAGATAACTATTCAGAGAAAAGTGGTAGTACAGATTAGAGAGGAGTACACAATCCAGATTGACAGTGGGCCAATTGAGTGAGAGTATTCAACAGTCCTGATTATTGTTTGGGCTTCCTTTTATGAGGATCAAGTGAAGGAGTTTGATTACTAAGGAACATAGTAAAGATGTTCTCTGTTTTGGCTGATAAATTAGGTCATATAATCATTTTTCTACTATGATGTCCTTTCCTATAATGCATCTGATTTGAATCATATGCACACCCAATTATACATAGGCATAAGATGGTAAAATAGGGATTTTCCCTAAAATTTGAAGGCAGTTTTGCTTTATTGCGTGCACCCAAAACCAGTTCGGGTTGGATTGGCCCTTCCATTCTTTGTACTCTGATACATTGGGAATATATTTGAATAGAAATTATCTGATTGTTGTTAGGGGAGGAGAAACATCCTGTTGTTCAGAGAGAAGTATAACTATAGCCTAATAAAGATGGGGGTCTGAAGTTGCTTGGTGCATTGTTTGGAGAGAATTATATGTGCTTAGTCTATGCAGGTAGGAAAAGGAGCTAGGTTGCTAAATGCATTATTAAAAGAGGAGGTTGTGTATAACCAAAAAGAGAGTCCCAAGTAAATAAATCATTCCTTGTGTTTTCCTACCTTGTAGCTGTTCCAACTCTTCCCTTTTATAGTGAGTGGGTATAATAGTAAAGTGCTTAGTGAGGTGCAGTCTTGTTGAACCCCTAACCTGTGGGAACTGATACTTTCTCCAGGTAGGTAATGTTACAATTGAGTTACCTTATAGAGCTAGAGAATTGGTTGTTGGAGGATAGTAACACACACACACACACACACACACACACACACCCTGTAGTATAAGAAGTGAAGTATTTGAAATGTGGATGTGAATGTGGTAGGAGAAAGCAGTTTGTGTTTTTCTTGTCTTAAGCTTTGTTTCTCAAAAGCAGCCTTAGACAGTTTATAAACAGGTGGGTGTGCCCATGCTCCAATATAATTGTAGGGATATTGAATCTTGAACTTTTTAAATAAATTTCATATGTAACAAAATATTGTGTTTTTTTTCAACTATTTAAAATGTAAATAGGTAATTAAAACTAGGCCTGATAATACACATCTATAATCTCAGCACTTTTGGAGGGAGGTAGAGACAGAAGGATCTTGAGTTCCAAGTAAGCCTGGACTACTTGGTAAGACCCTGTCTCAACAGTAACAGCAGCAACAGTGGACTGCAGGGAGGAGTTTGTCAATCTTTCACTCAAGCACTTTTCCCCCTCTGACTTGCTGAAGAAGCTGAGCTGGTTGCCCCACAGAGGGCCCCATCTTTTGGTTTTGTCTGTTTGCTAAGTAGTAGTATGAGTTTGTTCTCTAATCCTCAGTAGTTTCTGTAACCTTGAAATATATCTAAAGGCTAACAAATTCCAAAAAATTTTTAAATCCCTTGTTTGCTGTCTCTTTGTGTCCCCAAGTCACAGGTAACTGTCACTTGACATGATTCACTAAGCCCAAACAGTTAGGTTTTAGTTTGCAGATACTGCTTTTTGTTTCATACCAACAGTGAAAACACTTTCCCATTGTGTTTGGTTTTGAGAAATAAGCTCATTAAGACTTGAGGTAGTTTAGAGCAAAGACAGCTATTTTAGAGGATTGGAGAGATATCTCAGTGGTTAAGTGCTTGCTATTCTTGCAGAGGATCCAAGTTTGAATCCTAGCACCTATGTCAAAACTATAAGTCTAGCTCCAGGAGGATTCAGTACCTCTGGTCTCCATGGGTGCCTGCACTCATGTGCACATACCTAGACACAAACATACACATATACCTAATTAAAAATTCAAATTTAAGAGAGGAAAGAGAGAGAGAGAGAGAGAGAGAGAGAGAGAGAGAGAGATTGATTTTTAAAAGTTAATGAAGGGCTGGAGAGATAGCTCGGTGGTTGAGTGCAAACTGTTCTTGCACAGGACCCAAGTTTGATTCTTAGCACTCATATCAGCTGGGTCACAACCACCTATAACTCCAGCCTCAGAGAATCTGACACTCTCTTCTGGCCTCCAGAGGCACCTGCTCTCATTACCCATACTCCCTCCCCAATACACACATAAACATAATTTAAAAATAAAATAGGGACCGGAGAGAGAGATAACTTAGTGGTTAAGAGCACTTGCTGCTCTTGCAGAGGTACCAGATTCAGTTCCCAGCAGTCACTTGGCAGCTCACAACCACTTGTAATTCCAGTTCCAGGGGATCCAGTGCCCTCTTCTGGCCTCATGGACACTGCATACACATAGTTCACCTATATACATGGCAAGTAAAACACTCATAACATAAAAAATAAAAACATTTAAACAAAAAAATCTTTAAAAAAATAGTGGGGCTGGAGAGATGACTCAGCAGTTAAGAGCACAGACTGCTCTTACAGAGGACCCAGGTTCAATTCTCAGCACCCACAGGTGGCTAACAGCCATTCATGACAACTCCAGTTCCAGGGGATCCAGTGCTCTCTTCTGACCTCTGTAGGCATTGCACAGCGCTTACACACATGCAAGCAATACACCCATACACATAAAATAAAAATAATAAATAAAATAAAAATAGAAGTTAATGAAAACTGAATATTACTGTTCTATCTAGCAGGGCATGCCAGAGTATATGAATTCTTCAGTTGAAAGTACAGTAGTAATTCCATGTTGCTGTGTCTGTCCTCTTTCTTTCCTTCTTACCCGGTCTCCTACCTTATCTTTCAAGCTATTTACTGTCTCTAAGTGAACTTTTGTTTTTATATTCTGTATTGTTTACTTGCCAATAAGCATACTTTTTTTTTTTTTTTTGGTTTTTTTGAGACAGGGTCACTCTGTAGCCCCAGCTGTCCTGGAACTCACTATGTAGACCAGGCTGGCCTTGAACTCAGAGGGATCCACCTACCTCTGCCTCCTGAGTACTGGGATTAAAGGTGTGTGCCACCACGCCTGGCAATAAGCATACTTTTGATAAGAATGTTTTAATTTAAAAGATACTATGCCGTATAGATCAGCACATTTTATTTTTTATTTTATTTATTTTTTGGGGACAGAGTCCTTCTGTAGCCCCAACTGGCCTGGAACTCACTATGTAGACCAGACTGGGACCAGGCTGGCCTGGATCTCACAGAGCTCTGCCTACCTCTGTGTACCTAGTGTTGGAATTAAAGGTGTGCCCACCACACCTGGCTAGATCAGCACATCTTTAAACAAATTAAATGAATAGGATTTTGGTTACTTCATTTTCAAGTTCCCATCAAAATAATTAGAGCTAGAGGACTAGAAATTGTAAGGACCAGAAATTGGATCACCAGAACCCACATAAGTACCAGGTGGGCATGGCGGCCCATCAGTAGTTCCAGGTCTTGGAAGACAGAGACATGGCCTCCTAGAAGCAAGGTGGCTAGCCAGATATTAATCATATTAGTGAGCTCTGGGTTCAAGTGAGAGATTCTACCTCAGTGAGTGAAGTGGAGAAAGATGGAGGAAGACACCTGATCTCAGTCTCAGACCTTCACACACATGCATACATATATGCACACATACCACACAGACATATAGATGAGGGGAAGGTTGTCAAGTAGGTTGACTCACATTTGGCTGTTTGCTAGCACAATCTTGGATTAGGAGCATTAAGTACTTGAGATGATATAGTATAGCTAACAACGCAAATTCATTTGGTGTTGGCACATTATAGTCTTTGTACTGTGTCAATAATAATAATAATAATAATTACATGTTCAGGGCTTTGGATATGCAAATGCTTTCACCTTCATTCTTAGATTTGAGCCATATTCCATTTTTGGAAGGAAAAATTCTGTGTCCATCTGACGAGTGAGATAATTGAGGCCCAGCAGGGACCACTTATGTGCCCAAGATCATTCAGCTAATAATTGATGGTGGCAGGAATTCTGACTCCAAAGCTAATTTTCTTTCCATAACTTCATAATTGCAGTTACTTTATTTTATTCTGCTTCTTGGAACTTGTTCATGGATTGAATGCTTTGTGGTCAGTCAGTTTGAACTTTTCTTTGGCCCCTCTGTATTGGCATGTTTAATTATTGTGGTCTTCCCACAGATGTTTCTAGTGGGTGGATGAGACCATTCTGTGAGAGATTGGAGAAGGTCTTAGAAAGAAAATGATGTGAATCACATAGAGTGGGGGAACAAATGACTTTTGCCATCAGATTGCCTGGTTTAGGTGAGGAGACTGGCCTCAATCTGTTTATCAAGGGATGGAGCCATTTGAATAGCTGTCCAAGAGATATGAAGCAGTTCTACGAACTGGCCACAGGATATACTTTATGTAAACCGCGTGTCAGGAAGAAAAGGAACACAGGCTGTACGTCATGAAGATTCTTAGGCGAAGGGAAGAAACAAGGTATACGTGAGCCCAGAACTGAATGTAGAAGTTGAAATACACTTTGACTCACAGCTTGAGGACTGGTCCTGCAGAGAACAACTCTTAAGAGGGAATCAGTCACCTGGAGTTGGCCTCAACAGCCATCTGCCTCTATTGCAGAACGACCAAGTATCTGCTCTGTGTAAGGTTGGGGTGGGAATGGCAAATGGCCTCATAAGCTGAGCCTCCAGGATGATTTTCAGTTCTCTTGTAAATTAGAGCCAAAATACTTATTTGTTTAACTTGCTTACTTTTGGTTCCATTATGTTTCTCTTTTGAAAAGTTCTAATCTCTTTGCTGCTTGATGTCACCTTTGTCATCCCTTTCTCTATATTCCCATCACTGAGATCTGTCCTCGGCAAGGATCTGTCATCTGGGTTTTAGTTAGAATCCTTCCTTACCCCTCCTGGTCCTCTTAGTAACTGTATCTACTGCTCCCTACCTGCTCTTGACTCTAAATTTCTACCTAATCTTGTCTTTATAATCTAACCTTATCTCTCTGCTCTAATGCAAAACCCTCATTGCAGCCAGGTATGGTAGCCATGTGGATGATCCCAACTTTGGTAGACACAGCCAGGAGGATCGCCACAAGATTGAGGCTAGCCTGCTCTAATAGTGATATCAACCCCCAAACCCAAACTACAATAAAATATTCTCATTGTAGTAATCTTTCTTGAATAAAGACTTCTTTTCTGTTGTTAATAAGTGTCATGAGTAACTACCTTAATGAAAAACTTTTTAATACTAAACAAAAGGAAAATGAGCTAGAAAAGACTAAATGAGATACAGGCCATTTCTATTTTCCTAATCATCAATGTTGGTTGGTGACTAGCAACCATAGACCCCTGTGGAAGATTATTTTAGACTGAAAGGCCTCTTCTCTCTAGTTTTCCTTTCTCAATTCGTCCCTCTTATCTAATTTTCTCTCTGTACTTGAAGAGAAACTAGATGGTGATTTCTTCTGATCTTGGCCTCTCCATGAGTCCTTATACTGTATTTATGATATTAGATGATTTTTTATGCATTGATAACCCTTCTAAAAGGTACCAGTTGTGAGTTTCCTTTGTCCTCTTAAATTCTACATGATTTACCAAGAGCAGCACTAAATTTGGGGCTTTGATGATTCTTTGTTGTGGGAGGCCACCCTCTACATTGTAGGATTATTTGGCAGCACCCATGGTCTCAACCTTAAGTGTCAGCAGCACTCCTTTCAGATGTGACAACCCGAAATGTATACAGATGCCACCAAATGTTAGAAATGTGAGAACGGGTTTGGAGGGAGAATGGTGGTGCACGATTGTTCTTCCTTGATATGTTAGATTTCTGTTGCTATGATAAAACACTCTGACAAAAGCAACTTAAGGAAAAAAGGGTTCATTTTGGCTTACAATTCCAGCGAGTCTACTGTGGCTGGAAGGCATGGTAACGGTAACAGTCAGAGAAAGCATCGCAGCAGGAGCAGCAAGCTGGCTGATCACATTCTCATCCACACACAGGAATCAGAGAGAAAAATTGGAAGTCCAGGCTATACACAAAGCCTGCTTCTAGCGGCACACTTCCTCTAGCAAGGCAGCTCCACCTAAAGATTCCATAACCTTCCCAAACACCGTCACCATCTGGGGAGCAAATATTCAAATACATGAGCCTGTGAGGAACATTTTTCATTCAAACCATCACACTTGAGAATTTTGGCCCTGTAGACACCGCAGAGAGCTTCCATTTTCTAGGTACAGTATACCCCTGTACAGAGCTCGTGTTCAGCATGCAGAGCCCACAGAAGCCAGAAGAAGCTGTCAGATCCCCTAGAACTGAAGTTACAGGCAGTCGTGAGCTGCCCAACATGATGCTGGAAACTGAACCCAGGTCCTCTGGAAGACCAATACACACTCTTAACTGCTGAGCTATCATCTCTCCAGCCCTTCTCAGTGAGTGTTTATTTTTAACATTTCATAATTGCCTTTGAATGGATCTGTCTTACCACTTCTGCCTTGAGTTTCTTGAGAACAGGAGTCATCTTACTTAGCTTTGTATCCCGTGGATTTAGCATTGTAGTTGCTGGCAAGTGGCCAACCCTTCAGTATTGTTTGAATCAATGAGTATGTGAATGAAAAGCTTAGAGAGTTTCCAAGAAAAACTTTTAATGATTGTTTATTTTGTTTTTGTTTTCCATAGATATTGGCATCAACCTGACAGATCCTGTGTTCAGGGGAATTTATAGGGGGGTGCAGAAGCATCAAGGTAAATAAATGTTTCTTTTATTAAAGTGGTTTCTCTAGGAAGACAAATGTTCTGCCTCAAGGAGATCTTGAAAAGCATAATCCAATCTTAAAATTGAAATGTTAATGAACTCTTTATACAACTGGGTATAGCAATTCAAGTCTCTAAAGCCAAACTCAGGAGGCAGAGGCCAGCTTGGGCTACATAGTGAGAACTTGTCTTAAAAAAAAAAAACAAGCCAGGTGTGGTGGTGCATACCTTTAGTCACATCACTCAGGGGGCACAACAGGCAGATCTCTGTGAGATCGAGGCTAGCCTGGTGTACATAATGAGTTCTAGGCCAGCTGGGGCAACAGAGAAACCCTGTCACAACAAAAAAACAAAAACAAAAATAACCTCAAAAAATTAAAACAAGCCCTCATCGTTACACATCTTAGATAAAACAATAAATGAAGTGAAAAAGTCACATTAATAAATGGTGACCATGAACACTAGGCCACACAACCTAAGAATCACTTCCTGTGAGCATCAGTTTATCGAGTTTTTTAAAAAGCATTTTCAGGTTGCTGGGGAGATTGCTCAGTGGTTCAGAGCACTTACTGTTCTTGCAGAGGACCCGAGTTCAGTTCCCAGGACCCACACCCGAATTGGGCTGCTCATAACCACCTATAATTCCAGTTCCAGAGAATCTGATGTCCTCTTCTGGCCTTTTCAAATACCTGTACTCATATGCACATACTTACACATAGATGCACACACATATATACATAATTAAAAAGAAAATAAATCTTATTTTAAAAAGAAAAAAATTTTCAGCCAAGTGACAGACTAGCAAAGTAACTGAAATGGAGGCATACTGCTGTCTACTTCCCTATCTCCTTCCCTGTCCACCTGTGTCTCTATTTGGAGGCCCATTGTATGGGGGAACTTGATAGTAGTATCTTAAAGATTAAGGGAAGGCTTAGCCAAAGACAAATGAATGTATTTATCAGATAAGTTCATTTTTCTCTCCAGTTGTAAGGATCCAGCCAGGCACTTAGACATGCTAGACAAGTGCTCTGCCCCTGAGCTACAGTCCCAGTATACAAGGCCTATTTAGTTAGCTAAGAGGTGGCTAAACAGGAAATGATGGTGACAACAAGTTTTTCAAAGCAGAATGTCTGCAATAAACTCGTCTGCAAAAACAGCCTTCGAAAACTGACTGTGCTCATCATGAATGTGCAGACAGGAATATTTGGTTTTGTGGTTGGGAATGGAGGAGAGTTCCATACTTCAATAAGCTACACCAGAAACTCATCTAGCTGAGCTTCTCTAGATGGTAGAAGGTAAAAGCTTTCCTAAACACAGGAAATGCTCCATGTCTCTTGAGAGAGGAAAAGTAAATGTTAGTTTTCTCAAGTCTTATTTCTCTTCTATTCCATTTAGAATTTGGGGTGATATTTTTATATGCCACTTACATAACAAAATTGAGCTGTTTAGTGAGTTATAATCTGGTTTTCTTACCTTTGTAGCTCCTAGACTTCATGCTTTGTTGTAGCATGTATATATGTGTGTATATTTGCATATGTATGTTTATGATGTAAGTTATATTGTGGCCAATGTCACTTACCAGTTTGTAATATTTATTTTTTATATATTTTATTATTTTTATTTTATGTATACGAGTGTATGGCATGCATGCATGTATATAAGTGCACCCATGTTGTGCAGTGCCTGCATAGGTCAGAAGAGGACTTCGAATCCCTGGATCTGGAGTTATAGATGGTTGTTAGCTGCCATGTGGGTACTGGGATTAAAACCCAGGTCCTCTGCAAGAACAGCCCATGCTCTTAACTGCCGAGCCATCTCTCTAGCTCTGAGTTTATAATATTTAGTAAACCTAGTTGCTGTACTTAGTATAAGTTAACTAAGGTTATTCTTTTCTTCCGAAATTTGTAGCTACTTTAGAAGTAATAGAATTCCATTTACATTTACTCTGATACTTAATATAAAATTAATAAATGAATTTTTCTATTTTATTTTGCTGCCCATTTGTTTCTGACCTCAATAATGAGCTGGGAAGATGGCTCTGTGGGTAAAGTGCTTGCACTATAATCATGAAGATATGAGTTCAGATCCTTAACACCTTCCTAAAAGTAAGAGCAACAGCATGTGTCTGTAATCCCAAAGTGTGCACTGGAGACAGGTGGATCCTTGGGACTTGCTGGCTGCAACAGTAAGCCCCAGGTTCAGTGAGAGTATCAAAAAATAAGGTGGAGAGTGATAGAGGAAAGCACTCAACATCAACCTCTCCCCTACACACATATGCATATACATGCACAAATTTTTAAAAAGTTTCAAATTCAAGGCAAGTAACTTAAATTGTAGTCAGTGAATTCATTTTTACTTTGGACCTCCTGATTTCTGTCATTTTCTCCTTGTTTGGGCAACAAAATAAAAATAAAATTGAATTCATTGTTAATTCTAGTTTGCTTAATATGGCTTTCTTTTCAAGGTTTTGTAACTCTAGTTTTATTATATTACAAGTAAATGGTATTGGTTTGACTTTGAATTAGTACCTGTGTTTATTTTTATGTATTTTTACTTTAAGGAGAGATGCAAAATTATAGACAACTGAGCTTTTATTGACCAGTTTTACTTAATACGTGATTTTTCTTATACAGATGACTTACAGGATGTAATAAAGAGAGCTATCCAGATTGGTGTTAAAAAGGTAACACCTAGATTTTGTTAGTCTTGAATTTCTTGTTTATAAAATAAATTTCACTTAAAATTCTGCAAAGTAAAGAGAAAAAGCCAATGCTGCATACTACATGTAATATAACCAACTAATAGAAATACTTTTTCTGCTCATTGCCATAAATTGCACAATGGTCGGGTATAGTTCTTTTCACATGATCAGAAATGTGGCAAAATCTATATAATTAAAAAATCAAACTTATAACAAGTACTAATATTAAAAGGCATATTTCAATACATTTTATGATATAATCTAGCATTTGTTTGAAGTAGTCATCAAAAACACATGCATATTTACCATATGTAGCTTATGGGTGTGTCATTGGATAACTGAGAAGGCACTTCAACTTTTATAGCAATAAAATTCTTGCAAGTTTTTGGAAAATCCTAATAGGCAAAGGAATTAACTAGTTTATGTCAAATTCTTCAAGTAATTATTTCTTTAAATTAGTTGTGCAAATGGTTAGCTATCCTACACATACTCACAGGAGATAGGGTTGTAAGCCACAGCATGGTATCAAGTCACTTTGTAACTATTGCTTCTAAGTTGAATACCCTCAGTTCTAAAACGAGACACTGCTAGTTAAATAAATTCTGCAGTCTCTAACACCAAGATTTTATTAGTCATTTACAAATAATAAGAAAGGACCAAAATTACATGAATTTCCCATTATGTGTTCACTCCCTATGTGAAAGATCACTTTTATAATGCCTTTCTGCAAACACTAAAGTATCAATCTCTTTAGTTCTCCCGTGTCGACCATGAATAGTTTGATTATTTCTAATCATGTATGTACATACAAGTAAACTACAGTCACAGAAACAAAAGAACTGAGGTGAATTTTACTTGGACTTACTAAATCGAAACTTGGTTCAGTACCTGCATTTATGTTGTGGTGGTTAAAGCACAATTTTGACATCACATATTTGGTTTCCAGCTCCAGCTTTCTCCTTTGCATCTTTGTGACTTGGGTTATTCCTCTGTCTAGATTTCAGTTTTCTCATCTGTAAAAAGGGAATGAAAACAGTATTTAATTAAGAGAGTTGCTTGAGGGTTAAAGGAAACATTGAATACACCATGTACATTGATGATGTGTATGGTGATATCACTGTTGTGCCATCATTAAAGAATTAACTAATGTTAGTAAATAAATTCTCCCAATATTTAAAAATTTTTTCTTATATCCTATGTTCTACAGGTAATTGAGGATTTAATTATGACTATATTTCCCCGAATAGTTGCTCAATGGCTAATCATGCTAGAGGTCTAAATTGTTGTATGACAGTGTCTGTTTATCATGTGAAATCCCACCTTTGTTTTATATGTATTCTCGTTAGGTGTGCACCTACAATGAAGTCTTCACTTCAGCTTAGTGAGACTTTGAAGTATGCTTTAAAAAATATAAACCAGGGGGCTGGAGAGATGGCTCAGCAGTTCACTGGTTGTCCTTGCAGAAGACCCGGGTTTGAATCCCAGCACCCACATGTCAGCTAACAACTGTCTGTAACTCCAGTTCCAGGGGATCTGACAGCCTCTTCTGTCCTTTGCAGACATTGCACGACACGGGTGTACTTACCTACATGCAGGCAATACACTCATACACATAAAATAAAAATAATAGAATATTATAAAAAAACAAACCAGTGTCCTTAATCACTTCTTAAAAAGAAGGTGTACCTTAAATAGCACTGCTTCAGCCGTCACTGTAAAAGTATGGCACTTTCATTCTGACAGATTAGCAAAGATGTATTCTAACCATCAAGTGACTCCAAAGGCTGTCTGAAGTATACCAGTTTCCCAGGAGCCATGAATTCCTTACAGAGACTTTGTCATTGTACATCAACTCAGCAGTTTTCCGTCTCAGAGCCCCTTCATATTCTTTAACATTATGGAGGACCCTGTAAAAAGCTTTTATGTGGGTTGTTATCTGTTCATATATACTATATTGGAAATGCAAACAGGGAGCTGGAGAGATGGCTCAGTGGTTAAAAGCACTGGCTGCTTTTGCAGAGGACCCGGGTTCAATTCCCAGTACCCTTATGGCAGCTAACAACCATCTGTAACTCCAGTTTTAGGGGATCTGACACCCTCTTCTGACCTCTCTGGGCATTGCACAACATGGGTGCACTTACACACATTCAGGCAATATACTCATACACATAAAATAATAATAATAAAAAGAAATGCAAACAAATGTTTTAAATATTAACTGATTTTAGATTATTATAAATTACTCTATAACAGCATATTTTTATGAAAAGTATTTTCAAATAAACCTTAGCAAAAAAGAAGAATCCTGTTACATTCTGTCAAATCTCTGAATGACTAAGTTAATAGAAGACTGCTATATTTCCACATCTGTTTCTGTAGTCAGTCTGTTGTGATACATACATCAAGTCCTCTGGAGGACCTCCCTGTATGCTTGTGATTTGATTAAAAGCTTATATTATTATTATTATTATTATTATTATTATTATTATTATTATAGTTTTGACCTCCTGGGAGTTCCTAGACCACACTTGGAGATTGGTTGGAGATTGGTTGAATTACTCAACACTATTGATTTACATGATCACTGATTTCAGTGAACAAAATTCAAAATTTACAGGTCTTTCCCTCTTCAGTTTTCTGTAACATGAACTATATCCTCAAGTGACTCAAGGAGTGTACAGGAGTTGGGTGTCATGCTATACAGAGATGATCTTCCCCATGAATATTAAAGGAAGGGTGGGTGTGTGAAAAGCACTGTGAAATGAACTGGTGAGAAGACATATTTGGGGAACAGTTGCTGCTGATGTCCTGTGAAAGTCAGCTTGTTTTATTTCTTTCTGTTTTAGTTTATGATTACAGGTGGAAGTCTACAAGACAGTAAAGATGCACTGCAGTTGGCACAAACAAATGGTACCTCATATTACTTTTACCAAAACAAAATATGAATTAGCTAATTTTGAAGAATTCTTTCTGAGAACTGCTTCAGGTACAAACACAGTATTTCCTGACCATAGGAACACCAGGAAAATGGATTGATTTCATTGGAATATGATTAAGTTGGACAAAGTTTAGGGTACTCATTGATATAGCAGATATTACAGTGTTTAGCAAAGATTATTCAGCAAATGAGAATTAAGTTATTTATGTATATAATTAGCCTTGAGTACTCCTGATGAGGAATTCTTATGTGGGCGTTTTAATATGTTTAAGGTATGAATTGTTTTTATTTAATTTTTTAAAAATTTATATCATAAAGGATCATTTTTACTAAATATTTCTTTTGTGGACCAGACATTGTATAAAACCCCAGGAGTTTGAATAATAATGTAATATCCTGCCCTTCGTGTGTTCACTTTATGTTCAAAGCATTTTACATTTATTTAAAGCCTTAAAAGTTTAACATCCGTGTCATTTTTGTTTTGCATGTCTACTTTGCTAGACACCCAGGAATTAGGCATTTCTACAGTTTTTGCATAAAGACGTGTTTCTTTTATGTATAAAATCTTATCAAAGGTTCTTTTTTAATAATTTTTTTTTTTTTAAATTTTATGTGTATGAGTGTATTGCCTGCACGTAAGTGAGTGCACCCGTGTCATGCGCTGCCATGGAGGTCAGAAGAGGGCTGCGGATTCCCCTGGAACTGGAGTTAAGGATGGTTTGCAGCTGCCATGTGGGTGCTGGGAATCGAACCCAGGTCCTCTGCAAGAGCAGTCAGTACTCTTAACCGCTGAGCCATCTCTCCAGCCCCTCAAAAGCTGCTTTTATAGAAGTCTTTCTAAAGTGCATGCTTTTCTTTAGGATATGCAGGCACTTTGCTTAGTGTTAAAAAACATGAAAATAATCATCTTCCCAGGAGTTTTTGAAGTTCAGAGGAATTTCTTCCATACTTTGTATTTCCTAACAGCTGTGGTTTGAAAAGCTTCGCATCTCTGTTACCTGCCCCTTTCACTCTTCTCCACATCCTTTGCCTCCTCACAACTTTAAAGGCTATCTACTGCCTCCTGCTAGCTCTCTGTAGATATCTGCATGAGAGCCTGAGGAAGGCTCTTCCCACTTCCATGGCCTCAGTTGTAGATACCTGTGGAATTCCTAAAAGATAAAATAAAAGAATTGTTTTTCAGTATAGAAATCCAGCACCTGGCCTTGCTCATAGTACACGTGATATTCAAGCACTCTACCCCTAAGCCACACTCCCAGCTCTGATAGAACATCTTTGACTTCTCATTTGTATTCTGTATTATCAAAGCTGTGAAAAGCATGGCCTCCAAATACTGAGTCTTGTTTTGTATTAGAAAAGTAAGTCTGCTTTTTACCTCTTTCAATTATTCCTGCTATTAACCTTTTTCAGAAGGATACATTATGGTCATTATTTTAAATACATGAATTATGACACTGACATTTTAAAAATATTTGTTATTTTTATGTGTATGCGTGTATTGCCTATATGTAGGTAAGTGCACCCGTGTCGTTCAATGCCCGCGGAGGACAGAAGAGGCCGTTGGATCCCCTGGAACTGGAGTTACAGATGATTGTTAGTTGCCATGTGGATGCTGGGATTCGAACCCGGGTCTTCTGCAAGAACAGCCAGTGTTAACCACTGAGCCATCTCTCCAGCCCCAACACTGACATTTTAAGAAATCATTTCATGTACTTGGGAGGCAGAGGCAGGCGGATCTCTGTGAGTTCGAGGCCAGTCTGGTCTACATAGCAGGTTCTAGGCCAGCTGGGGCTACAGGGAGATCCTGTCTCAAAAATTAAAAAAAAATGATTCCACTTTCCATTCCACCATGCTCAGTATATAACAAGCTTTGGAAAGAGTTGATTATTTTATTAATATATGAAGACAGTTTTCATGTGCATACCCCACTGTGTTGAGATATTTCAAAAAATTCTTGTATAATTAGCATAATTCTGGAAGTTTAAATAGCTTATGGCTAATAAAATTTGGTTGGAATTATTTTTCTCTCATTTTTGCGTGTTAAATATCAACATGGAAATTTTTCTGAAAATAACCCTAAGGTGTGATTTTCTGTTAGATATGTTTTTCAGTACAGTTGGGTGTCATCCCACAAGATGTGATGAATTTGAAAAGAATGACCCTGACCATTACTTAATGGAGTTGCTACATCTTGCTGAGAACAACAAGGGGAAGGTTGTAGCAATAGGGGAGTGTGGACTTGGTAAGTGCCGACCTTACCACTGAATGACTGACAATAACAGATGGTTCTGTTCATGTCTTGAATAATTCTTCTTCTTCTTCTTTTAATCTTTTAAAGATTTTGACCGACTTCAGTTTTGTCCCAAAGATACTCAGCTCAAGTAAGGAAATTTCTTGACTTTATAAATTGTTCTAAACTCATAAAAATGATTTTTTTTTTCAGAGTAACATCAGTTGCTCATGTAGTTGGATTAGTTATCAGGGTATATTTGTTTTCCCTGGTATGTACCAAAAGTTAAATGAAACAAAGTCCCTACATATTTGCATACACATCATAATTCCCCAATTGATTGACCATTGAATTTGATTTTATTGGTAAAGCAAAGGTGTACATTTACCATACTGATTTTTGGTGGTAATGTCCTTTAACAGATGCACTGACACATGAACCATCTATCCTCCGTCACTGTGGTTCCTTATGCACAAAGAAGAATCTGGATCAAATTATCTCTTAGCAATTTTTGTTATCTGAATTTTTTTCCCCTGTACCTTCTAATTGTCAAACCACTGTTGTGATGACCTGAGGGATTTCTCAAATCATACCTGCTAGGAGGGCCAGTGATAAGGGCCAGCAGGGAAAGGTACTTGCCAACAGTCCTGGTGACCTCAGTTTTATTCCTAGAACCCACATAGTAGGAGAAAACAGACTCCTGAAATAAGTCCTCTGAATTCCATAGGTACTCTGCAGCATGTGTTCACATACATACATACATACATACATACATACATAAATGTAAAAGAAAAGTGTACCTGCTAGGCCTCTGCTGTTCTATCTTAACTGGAATTCACTTAAAAGCCATGGTAGTGAGGAGCGACTTTACCCTGCCAGGATTTCTGGAGGGTGAGGTCTGTAACTAAATGGAGGGGAATAGCTTCATAACAGTGAGACATTAGGAAGTTCTTCCAGATCTCTTAGTCATGGGACCTTTCAGAGCGCTTCAATTTGTGTAACATTTGCTGTATTTGGAGGAACCAGCAAGGTTACAAGACTGTGCAATCAGCTCACCTGGCCTTAAAAGTTCACAGATTCACAGTGGAATAGAAATCATTGCTTTTGCCAGCTTCTCAGGCCATTCTTCCACTTCAACATCTGTTTTCAGCCAGGACAAGTCTCATATGTCACAGACTGTGTATTATAACAAGCAAGGACAGTTGCAGAGTCCCCAAAATATCTTGCCCATATAGCTTTTCTTCTAGAATGAGTTAAGTGGTTCTAAAATGCAGTGTAAAACTTTAGACTTGGTATTTTGGTTGATGAAAGTACTGACAGTAGTGGTTTTGTTTACTGTTCTGAAAGGAACTTCTATCATCAGAGCAAACTAGATTTAATATGTATAGCAGATACAGATTATTCTGTCACACATATAATTGTTGTCCAAGTGCTAATCTGTAATGGAATTGACCTCAATTTATTCTGTAAATGATTACTGAGTGCTTTCCTTGGTGTGAGAAAAGATAAAGACTTGGCTCTTAGGCCTTCATAGATAAGACAAATTATTGTAATAGGCTGGTAAGCGCTATCAGGGAGGTGTATATGCTTGAGGACTTGTGTTCAGCTCTTACCACTATCAAAAATAAGTATGTTGACAGCAGATGGAAGGACTGACTGCCTTTTTAGGGGAACCTGGGAAATCTCTGCTAAGATGACAGCATGATCTAGGCCTCTTCAAAAGAGAATAAGTGAAGAACAAACAAAAATGGAAATTTTGATAAGATTGTTTGGCAGTTTGAATTGAGATTTTTAAATTTATAAAATATCAAATGTCTTTTGGATTAAAAAAAAGAAGAATGATCACAATTGGATTGTAATTAAGGAAACAAATACCCATGCCTCCCCACCCCCCAGTATAGACTTACAGCACTGAAACCCTCCTTCACCCATTTCAATACACTTATTTATTTCCCTCTGCCTACAGACTAGTGTCTTCAAGTGCTTTTCCAGGCACACAGCATGTTTGCTCACATTGCTTCTTTGATGCCTGGCACAGCACTTTTGGCACAGGCAAATACTTGGGTGAAGGTTTAATAAGGAGGCTCTTTCTGTTTCCTATATAGATAAAAGGCCTTAATTTAGTTTTTGTTGTTGAATTTATTGGAAGAATTTAGATTTAGCCTATACTTTGTGTGTGCATGTATGTACATACATGCATGTGGAGGCCAGATGTAAATTGGGTGTCATTCCTTGTTTTTTTGAGACACAGTCTCTCGTTGGGACCCTGGGACTCTCTGATTAGATTATGCTGTCTGACCTGCAAGTCCCAGAGATCATCCTGTCTCTGCCTTCCCAGTGCTGAGATTACAAGAATGGGCTAGCAAGCCCAGCTTTCTTATATGGGTGCTGGAGATCTAACTTAGGTCCTCATTGGTATGTGGCATGTTCTTTGCCAACTGACCATCTCCTTAGCCCCTTGATCTACACTTTATAGCATGTGAAACAAGTATATGATTTGTTGTTCATTTTTAAAAATTGTTTTCTTTTTAAAATTTTACATTTTAATTGTGTGTATGTGTGGGTATATGCACATGTGAGTGCAGATGCCTGAGGAGTCCAGAAGAAGGTGTCAGATCCCATGGAGCTGGAGTTATAGGAAGTTGTGAACTGCCAAATGAAGGTGCTAGGAACCAAATTCTGGTCCTCTACAAGAGTAGTACATGTGCTCTTAACTGCTGAGTCATATCTCCATACCCCTTGTTTTATTTTTAAGTAAAAAATGTATTCAGGGGAAAAAAAGAATTAAGAAAAAATAGATACAACTTAATGTGTTGAATTGGACAAACAGAAAATTAATGTGCAATAGATGTAATGTCTGAGAGATGGCACTGCGTCTGAAACAGTGTTAAGGGTGCTCTCTAAAATGAGCAGGCCTTGGTTGTGACTTAGGCTTGCCATTTCCTGGACATATATTCCTTTGTACATCTCAGTGTCCTCGTGGTCAGCATGAAGATGCTGGGTAAGGCTCATAGTGGCATGCCTGGGCACAGTGAGTACTCAAATGAAGCTTCTGAAGGAAAATTCCAACTCTGGCTTTTGGAGGGTTTTTATTTTCTTTAATTTAAAAAATATTTTACTTACTATTTTTATGTGTCTGTTTCGCCTGCATGTGTAAGTGTATCACCTGCATGCAATGCCTAAAGAGGCCAGAAGAGGGTGCCAGATCCCCTAGAACTGGACTTAAATGGTTGGTTAGCAGTCATGTGGGTGCTGGGAATTGAACTCTGGTCCTCTAGAAGAACAGCAAGTGTTCTTAACCACTGAGCCATCTCTCCAGCCTGTTTGGAGTTTTTGAGAAGCACCTTTTTAAAGAACAAGAAAGTAAAGCAAAGAATGAAAACAAGCGAAAGGCTCGCTTTGGCTATAGCTTTTTATTTTTTTATTTTATTTTTTTGACAGAGTTCCCCTAGTCCTAGCCTGCCTGAAAGTCACTATGTGGACCATGGATCCACCTGCCTCTGCTTCACGAGAGCTGGGATTAAAGGCAGTCACCTGGCCCAATGAGTTTATCTTTTAAGCCATCCCCATATTTCCAGTTCTGCTGCCAGCTGTGCTTTTCCGTATTGCATGTCAGAGCTCTGTTTGCTTGGATAGAAGGAATTTGCTCTGGGCATTTTTCTTGGAGCTTTAAAATCTCAATATTGTGTAGGCCTTTGTAAAAGTCCAGACATCAGACAAAATTTCAAAATGATCTTTTGGAGATGTGGGGGACCCTGGAGAGGAGGTTGAGGCCCCTGGCTGTCAGCCCACTCAGAGAGGGCAAACTGCCTATGTGCCAGTGTCACTCACTGGGCTTTTGGCTCGCCTCAGTCCTAATCAGTAACAGCTGCTCCTCTGCAGCCGACCCTTCCAATCCATTTCTTTCCATAACGTTGACTCCAAACTGTAAGCAACAGTCATACAACTTAAAGTAGATCACACCTTCAATAAAATGAGCAAATCTAATGCAAGAATGATTTTCATTTATGAACTGGAAAAATCATAAATAACTGAAATAAGCAAGAGAAATCTCTTGGTAGATGCCTGTTCCTGCCCTGTAACTTATGTTATTTGGTGGATTTTGTTCCCCTTTCCCCTTAAAGACATCAGTCATTTGATGTTACATATTGATTATCTTTACTATTAGGAAGTTTTTTTTTTGTTTTGTTTTGTCACATGGCTTCTTTTAAAAATTTATTTATTATTATGTGTATAAGTGTTTTGCCTACATGTATGAAAGTGCTCCTGTTTATATAGTGCTTGTGGAGGTCAGAAGAGGGCATTGGATCCCCTGGAACTAGAGTTATGGATGGTTGTTAGCCATCCATGTCAGTGCTGGGAACTGAACTTAGGTTCTCTGGAAGAGCAGACAGTGCTCTTCACTCCTGAACCATGTCTTCAGCCTCACATGGCTTTTTTTGTAAAGATTTTTTATTTTTACTTTATTATATATTGTGTGTGTGTGTGTGTATTTATTTGTGCATGCAGGCCACAGCACAGGACTAACAGGACTACTTGTAAAGTCAGTTCTCTCCTTCCACCTTCTTAATGGTACCTAGCTAGCTGGAATTTATTTTTTTGAATTACATAAAATTCTCTGTGCACATTGTGTGGGCTTCTTTATTTTAATAAACTGTACTTTTGCCTATTTTCTTTTTCTTTTTTTCTTCTTTTTTGGTCTTTTTGAGACAGGGTCTCTCTGTATCCCCAGCTGGCCTGGAACTCATGAGATTTGCCTGCCTCTGCGTCCTCAGTGCTGGGATTAAAGGCATGTGCCACCATGCCCAGCAGAAAGCCAATTTTTTCTTTTTTAAAAAATATTTTATTTATTTTTAAAAATTTTATGTGTATGAGTGTATTGCCTGCATGTATGTGAATGCACCCGTGTTGTTCAGTACTGCAGAGGTCAGAAGAGGGTTTTCGGATTCCCCTGGAACTGGAGTTAAGGATGGTTTGTAGCCGCCATGTGGGTGCTGGGAATTGAATCCGGGTCCTCTGCAAGAGCAGTCAGTGCTCTTAACCACTGAGCCATCTCTCCAGCCCCAGAAAGCCAATTTTCAAACTGATTATTTGGTTCTATAAAATTGTGAGTTGGTCATTGACTTGGTCCATGGAATTGTGTATAGTAAG